TTTTTAGAATCCCCAGAAGTTAAAATTTTATATAAAGTAGCTAAAATAAATAAATGTTGTCAGAAGACCGAACTCTCTGCAAACACTAATATTTATGCTTTATGATAATATTAATTTTCAACGATAAATTTAAAACGAAATAAAAACTAATAATAAATGTAACGATAAATAATGATAAATGAGAATGATTAATGAGGATGACAGTTCAGCAGTGAATTTTTTTAAAAATTGCTCGCTTTATTTAGTGGGTTTACTTCTTCTTCGTGTTCAAGCAGCTCGCACCATTTCTGGTATGGCTAGGGCCATTGATTATTGTTTCTAAGACTTCTGATTTAATGGGTTTTCAATTTAAAAAATTTAAATTTAGCAAAAAATTTATCAAAAAAAGATTTGTCTGGCAATATCAATAAATAAAAAATAGAAGAACATGTAGGTCGTATGATCTGTTAAAGGAAATATCTTTCTTAAAAAAAACCACTTAATTTATGATATTTTCAGTCAAACGAAAAAAAAATTTATTATAGCACTAAGACAAAGTGATCAAAAAGTGATAATATTCGCTGATAAAGTAAAAGGATAAGAAAAGAACCACTGATAATAAATCAGGAAGTTTCTCTCTCTCGATAGAAATAATTTATTATCATGGAGAGGAGAAAGGAAAACGATTTTCCTTTTTTATTATTTGATGAACTCGCAAATATACGACAGAAGAAGGTAGATTGACTTCCTCCTTCTCTAATGAACCAACCATTAACAAACCCATTCATTTTCCTTTTTCTATCTCATCAATAATAAGTCGGAGTTAACGTTCTCTATTTTCCATATTATTTCATTTTCGAGTCGATTTTTGACATGGTGGAATTTCTTCACCTCCATACGTACATACCTTTGACATACCTTTATGCCCTTCGACGGCAGTCATCAACGAAATTAATTGTGACAAAACTATGCAAGCAATTTTATGATTAATTTTCATTAAATTAAACTATAAGTTCGCGGATACACGTTTCCTTACGTCGGAAATTTAGTGATCAACAGCTGTTTTATCTTAACGATTTTAGTTACAATAGTATGTCATTATGGCTGTACTATTCACAAATTATTGTTGTAAGCATTTGCTTCTTTTGTTGTACATATCCATTAAATTCTTGGATTCTTAAATCAAAATCCCTATATTTCTTGGGCAATTTAGTCAAGTGCATCGCTTCGATTATCATTTTAAGTATCAAACTTCGACCCTTAGCCAGAAAATTCTGCCAGAGGATTAATGAGTGTTTTTCCAGTATATTTCAGTACACAGTATATCTCCAAATGATTGGGAAAATTGTCTCATCAGTGGAACAAGTCTAACTAGTAAATATTGAGTATTAATAGTGAGAATAGAGAATCTGAATAGACAAAAAGCTTCCAAAATCGACTGACCATATTTTAGATTGTTTTTGATCCTTTCGTAAGATTTCGCTCCGTATTTTGCTTCGATTCGTTAAGATTTTATTCAGAGTGTAAAAAAATTTTATTTTATGCTTCATCCACGATCGATTCATTCACATCAAAAATCTTTCAAAGATATATTAATCTCTGTCATATTTCCCATCAAGTGCTTCGATTTTAGTCCTTCTAAATAATGTAAAACAAACAAGAGCAACGAACAGCTCGTTGCTTGCGGATCAATCTGAGGTTATTTTATTATTGAACAAAAACATTCTTATTCCCATTTTAAATGAAAAAGTAGGGAAAATTCGTTCCATCGTCTTTATCATCAGTGCAATTTACCAATACCTCAACAATTTTTCAAAAATTTATTGAACTTAAATTTTTTTAGATCGAATTAACCGGATGGAAACTTTCTTCTTCTCATAGTCAAAATGCAAAAAGATAGACCATTAATCTTCTAATGCTGTTTCAGTCATCTCTTTTGAGTCATCACATATCAAAAATTTTTCGAACAAAAGTTGATTTTCTTTTCTCGCTTGCCCATTGCGTTTTTTCTTCTTAAACTGGATAAATAATAAATTATGGATTTGACTTTGTCCACGGTATGACGATATCATTTCAGTTCCGAAGATAGCATTGCTTTTTTAGCATTAATTTATAACTGATGAAGACATATCATATATATCAACTACTAGTGGAGAGGATGATGGAGTGGTGTATTACTTCGACCAAGAATTGATTCCTGGTCGTTGAAGAGAAGCATATATATAGGCCCTATTTTATTTTAAATTAATAATAAACGCAAATGAGATCTGAGACTGTAGTCGTTCTAAATACAAAAAGCTAATACCGAAATAATCATTTATTATAAAATGGCCATTAATTTAAAATCCTAGCCTCACTTAAAGAATTTTTATTTTTCATTTTCTTGAGATTTCATCTCTACTTTTTTTATTTTCTTAATCTTTTTTAATAAAATCGATGGTATAATCGTCAATTTTTGATTCATAATTTATTAATTTTTAATGCTTGCACTGTAGTCTTTGCGTCATAATTTTTACTACATCCAAATTCTTAGTTAACAGGATCGTGAGATTTTGAACTTTTTTAATTGCACCAGGTGATTTAGGCAATAAACACCTGTTTTCCAGCCATCCTTCATGGAGAGAACCCATGTGAATGCATTCGTGTATGATTTACTTCTTTTTTAGAAATTCCCTTCTCATCCGAAATTTAATAGTAATGAATAATAATAAAATTTAATAATGATGAATTAAAAAGGCTTAATCGTTCAAATTTTATTTTCAATTCAGTCATTTTTTTGCTTTGCCAAGCGAATAAATAAATGCAAATAATTAAGCAAAGAATCTGAGGCATTGGTTGCCTTTTTTATGAGACGCGAATTTATGCCGTGAATTTATACGAATTTCTGCAAAAGTCTAATAATAATTTAAAATCAGCAAATGTATGCATCAAAATAAATAAAAATTTCTCAAGCTGGCAATCTTGATTTTTCGATGAGTTAATGAATTAATTTATTTATCTCCAAAAAATCAACTATATGTAATTAATTTCCAATTTTAATAGTTATGTTTCATGTTGAAACGTTAAATTTTTTATTAAATGGTATCAATGCAAGTGTACCTCCTTACCTCCTTTGGTTATTTTCTAAATAAATAAATCATTTCAGCAAAATTAATTCGGGTTAAAAATCTGGCAGAATCGATCGTTCGTAACAAGTTTTATGAATCAAAATTCCATTTCATTTTTCGTTGTATTATTTATTTCGTTGTTTAATATATTGAAATATTCTATCATTTCGTTTTTTCAAACAAAATCAGAATTAATTTATTAATTTTTAATGTATGCAATATAATTCATTTATTTCCTCCATCTTTCTGGGGCCATTCAGAGGAAATATGCGAAAGTGCATGCGGGGAATAGAACCTCAACATCGGCACTCCGAATCGAGCAACAACCCACTCAGCCATTCTATCCTCCCTTTATTATTATTATTTTATTATTATTACTTTATTATTATTATTATAATTATAAAATCAAAATAAACTTTATTTTACTTTAGTGCTTACAGCAGAATTATTCTAAACTGCTAATGTTCTAAATAAGAATATTATGTTAAATATTTCTTAAAAATACGTATTCTATCATTTTTTCTAGATTTGGCACGATCTTCTAGATAGAAGTAGAAATTCTAAAATTAAAAAGTCCTGATAGCACTCGGGAACCAAATGTAGTACCTCTGTCCCTAAATTTTCTAGCAACAATTTCTTATGCTTATGCTGTAAATAGCCAGCAGAGCAAGATTAAAATTTCGAAATACTAATTCAAATTTCCAAAAAGTAAGTAAATTACAGTATTCATGATGGCTATTAACTAACGAAATTATCATGCTTACTCGGCCGGCTCCTGTATTTGGCAAGAATGTGCCATAGCAAAATGAGGGTAGCGATAGCCTGTACTTCAAATTCGGAATTCGCAAACAATAACGATAATATGACAATGAGAATGTAAAAAAACAGGGCAATATTTTTGCGAACAACTGTGCGGGCTGCTTTATCAGCGGTTGTAGGGCAGTGATACTGCTTATCGCACGTATCAATAAAAATTTCATTCTTCACCTCAAACTCAAACTTTTGTATTTAAACCGTACAATGGAAACCAACAGGAAAAGAAAATGAAAGGAAGGGGAGAATAATACAAGTGAACTAAGACGGAAGGGAATATTTCACGGCGCATACAGATTAATTGCAAAGTAAATGAATTGATTAAATATGAATTTACAAAATAAAATTTTTATTATTACAAGAGTTGCGGCCTCACAAACAGCGACCATTTAGCAAGAAAGAAATTTACTAAAATCTTCTGGCGGGCTGAGATTCCAAGCGACAAATTAGGCAAATATCGCGTTCTTCCGCGACAGCTAATATCGCCGGACTTCCAAAATCATTGGCTCAATCATCGCGAATCATTTCGGTTATCCTTATCATTGTCATTTTACCCTTTCGTCTCATCGTTTCTTTCACTCATATTCGCTTACAACATTGGAGGAAAGCCTTCTCGTTGAACTAAACATTTCGCCATTTCCGGAATTCTAATCTTCAAAATCTACAAGTAAAAACCGTTTTACACATTTACTTCCTTTCCTATGTTTTACCAAGGATGATTCAGTCTCACCAATGATTATCTATGCGAGGGTGTTTGTGTGCCGCACTTGGCATTGGAAAAACGCAGCCGCAGCCTTGAACCTCGAAAATCCAGCCCATGTGTCATTTCGTTTCGAAAACGTCTCGCACCTTTCTGCTGCAATGCGTTAATAGTGTTCACTTAAAAATACTCATGCTGTTCTAATCCTAATACGGATCTACAATATTCTCTAAAGCCGCCTTAATCCCCTTATGCTTTATCAGGAACTGTCTATTTTATTTAACCATTCAACGTCAAACCATTTTGTATTCTTTACAGTTCGTCGACACTCCCACTATACTTCGTCTATTACTACTGTAGGCTCCATTATATGCCTTAATATTTTATAATTTGAGCCTATAATGAAGAATGAGTCTGCTGCAAACGGCGTTGTTCGCAGGGATGAAAACTGCAGATATGATAAGAATAGTCTTAATGACTCTCCAGCAGATGTTGTAAAGTTTTTTGATGCAATGAGGGGTGAACGAACACGGACCCGACAGGGACGAGCTTGGTCGACTACGAAAATGCTCATTGCAGTTCGAGCAATAAACAGCAGTTAGAAGATCATTAATATTTGTCGAAATTCATTCCCTTCATATTACCTTGGAACTATTTTTCGCGATTCTAAGAGCCGAAATGCATTAACTGTATAATTTTTAAATTCTTTGTTTTAAATAATTCTTAATTTGCTAAATAATCTTATTTCGCTGTGAAAGATTTTAAACTTCCCACATGTGAAGCTTTTCGATTTACAAATCAAATCCTTTTTAATTGTTCAGAGGGCGTCTAGTCGAGGTTATATAGCTGAAGCTGAGTTTTATAATTAAAATTGCTATTAGGAGAGAGGCGAAGTATAACAAATTTCTGGAGTTTGCTATATCTATGGGAATAACAGGTTGCATTGTACTCAAGAAGCCAAACGAATGCACTATTCGATAAGAAAATTTTGAAAGCAAAATTAAACGACCGAAAAATTTAGTATTCCTTATTATGGTTCTGCAGTGAAGGTCGAAATCACGATTTTTATCAACAACATAAGCCAAGATATTCACCTGATTATTAGGAAATTAGCGTCTTTTCGAATTTATATATAGTGCGCTAAATTTTAAATTTTTAAATGAAAAGAGCGATTTACTCGTCATATAACCAGTTGGCAATTCAAAAATCCTCTGTAATGACATACCTATTAATAGTAACGAATAACTTACTGTGGAAAATGCTAACAAACGCGAAATTTACGCAGACAATTGTTATTATTTTTCCATTATCAACTGATGCTGGCCATAAAAAAGACTTTTCATTCTCAATATTCTTTTCGCAGTTGCTTGTGTAGTTTTGATTTCCTTTTGTTTAAAATCTTCCCACAGAATGTTGCTCCTGTAGCTCAGACTTCGCCATCTACTTATCCTTTTAGTCGAATTTTGAGTACTCATGGGTCTGATTTTTTTGGCGCGATCGGTCTTAATTCCAACGGCTGCGACAATTTCTCTGATAATGGCCCATAGCAAGCAGCGGCATTTTCTCCTATAGGCTTTTGTGGCAAATTTGTATCTAAAAATGGCCTCTTCTTTTTTTCGAAATATTCTTCGCTAGTTTCCATCAATTGCTCCGTCGAGGTCGTAAAATATTAACCAATCTTATAAACTGGTGCGGCATATGCACTCGAACAGCAAATTGGGTAAGACAATCGGTAGCGCCAACGCAAGAACGATGACGATGATGACGACGATGGCAACAACATCTCCCACATCTCCAGCCTATTTGCCACAGTTTTTCTTGTTCATTTTTGTCTTCCTTTCCTCCAAAATAAACCCAAAATTATCAAAATTCTTTGGAACTTATATAAGTTTTGAGATATGTGGAGGGAAGATTCGTATTTGTCTTCCATTCTCTCGAAATAGATATCTTTATCGTACCTCTCACTGATGGGGCACTCCACTGAGATATTTCAATAATTGGTTTGAAATGCACTTTACACTTAACCATCCCTGAACTTTTAGTTTGAGATAGTTGGAAGATCTTAGAATGCATATTTTTGACCGTCAGTTTTATGCGAATCTTGGCTCAGCCCACAACATAATTAACATTTTTAAATCTTAAATGATAATTTCAGAAAAACTTTTTAGGAACAATTAGGAATTGCTGAAACGCTTCAGAACTGTCCCTATAACGAAGAAAGAAATATTAGCCTTATGATTCCCCTTATCGCATCGTATCTTATTGTTCATCCGTCATACGCCTCAAACTTGGGTAATTAAACCTTTCTTTAAACGTATGAATCGATTACATGAAAAGACCGTGTAAAAAAACAATGTATCAGTTATTAATTACCAATCGCCATTTAAAATGACCAAACTGCGTAATAGTATATTTATTCGCCTAAATGCAATCGCAACTATAAGCATCAAAGCTCTTCTCCGATGGTGTTGTTTCAGTAGTGTTCGAATCTAATGATTGTCTTTATTTATAGTCAGTTTACAGTCATCTGAAGTCAATCATATTTGAATTTATTATGTAAAAGGCGAAAAAAATAGCCCAAATCTCGGCAATCTCCAGTGAAAAATTCCACCACCTTCTATGCAAAATACCACTTTTTTATAAGCCTTGTGATTTCCCTTTCAAACAGTCTTACATATTAAATTTAAAAAAATTTCTCGCTTCACTTTCTACCAAATTTACGATAATTTGGGTCAAGGAGTCACCTAAGGATAGAAATCACTAGGTGAATCGCCAGCACCAACCATATATTCTAATGATAGCTTTATTACTGTCCTATGCAGGGTCCGAACATTGACGCTCGAGACGGTAACCTAAGCGACAACACGGTGGAAAAAAATTACCCTAGCAGTGGAAAAAAATTGGATCGGACTCGAATAAAAAATCCCAGCCGTAAATTTAAAAGATAAGTATTTCGGTTTACATGACGCATTACAAACTAAACAAAATATTATTTAGAGAAATACTTAGCAAAATAATCGAACATATTTAGAAATTATTTAATCACTGTATGGCTCAAAACTTTAATTTTTACATTTCTTCCATTCAAGAAAATTACTTTGGAATATGAAATGGCGCAAAAGAACCACAGAGGCAGAGGAAAAAGCGATCCTCTTATGTATGCGCAGTTGATACGAGCCTTTCTTCTTGGGTCATCCAGTCGGGGTCAAACAAAATATCGCTCGTCTCTGTTAATTTACTTATAATAGTTTCTATAATCAATAAGATAAAATTGTATGACCTCTGAAGGTTACGTAATTTAGCATTCAAGATGTTGCACAATACAATGTGAACAATGGTCGCATTTATGATGCAATAGTAAATCGGCAGAATAATCATATTTCTAGTTTTTCGAAAGAAATCAAACAAATGCATGAAGTATGCGGATAATAGGGCTTATTTTTCGTTTTCATTTTGGTGAAAATATGGTGCACTATGAATGAAATTGATGGCGAATCACGGCGCAGTGGATAATTTATATGCGCTCAAATATATTTTAATAATTTAGAATGCTTTTTAAATTTCAAAATTTCAATTTACTGAATGACTAATAAATGAATGAATGAATGGTACTGCATTTCTCGAACAATTCTTCTTTTTTAATATTCAAACGTATTTTTAAATGCAAAATTGCCCATAATATCCGAAAACTTTCTATCTAAGTAATTTTTGCTGTATATTTATGCAAAATCTAATACTGGTATCAGTATTGCTCGTTGATCGTCTCACAAACGATCTAAACGAACTTTTCATTGATTTAATGAAATTAACATTCCACAACAGTGGCACCAATATTCGAGTGGGGCTGAAATGAAATCTGTTTTTAAATGGCCCGCTGATGAATCAGTCTAACAGCTAGTGAAGCCAACCAGAAACTGGTTTCTTAGAAATGATGAGAAAAAAACTGTGCAGAAAAAAAGTGGAAGAAAAAGTCTACTTTGATTTAAACTCAACGACTGTTGCTTTCATAAAATGGATATTCTATGGCAGCAGATTCTACACGAGCACATGCTAGCCAAATTTTACTTTTTATTTCATCGATGAAACATCAAATAAGTTAAACTATCAGAAATTTCATTATCTTCTCGAATTCTGCTAGTTTTATACATTTTTTCACTAATTATAGTCATTGGAAGTGAAAAACTTTCTTTTAGGGTTATTTTAAATGTTCATTAAATTTTAGTGTTGAAGAAATTAGGGAAGATTAAGGAAGGAAAATAGCTATTATATAAGCACGATGGATAAAGGAATAAGGAAGAGGGGAAGCGAAAAGGACGAGAAGACGAAAAAAGGAAAGCAAATGCAATCGGTGCTGTCCGTGTAGCCGAAAAGGTCCAATCAGTTCCCAAAATGATTTTACCAGTTTTTCAATTTTTTTCAAAGCCAATTTTTCTTAATTATTTATCGTCATTTAAACTGAAAATTTCTAAAAGTAAGTCATAGAAAGAAGTCTTTCCTTTTTCTTCTAAATTTTCCTCTGCACGATTATTCTCAAGTGGCGTCCTATTTACTAGCAGCTCCTCCATAACTCTGGGAACCTTTACCTGCCTCACAACTCTCTTCGCATAACCTATCCAAATTTCCCCACTAAGTGGGTAAGTGGGTAAAGGATTTTTCAAGGATTTTCGCTCTCCCGACACTTGGCATTCAAAAACGGTGGTGGTTGACAACTCATATGCACTCATACACTCGTTTATACACTCCTTAACACAAATTTCTGTTCGCACGAATATTTAGACCTATCCTTACCAGAATAGACGTGCTAATCCTTCATAAGTTTCCTAATTTTAAATTCATTTTGGGTTTTGAAACGAAAGTTTCTTAACTCCTGCAACGAAAAGTTTTTATGTCACGTGGTCAGGAATGAAGCGTGCGTCTTTTCGATTGTTGCGACGTTGTGGGAATGTGGGCGGAGGTTGGGTTGTGGGGCATGTGGGTCTTCATCGCTAAAGGTGAATTTTCGGCTGGAGGTGTGTTTCAGCGCAGTGGAAACTTCGTAATTCTCCTGCATGCTTCATTATTTTGTATATTTAAGACGTTTAAATCCACAGTTTTTCGTTGAATATTTTTGTGTAAAATTTTTTCCTAATTTGATTGTATTTGATCACTATGGCCAATTTTATTTAACTGCATCTTAAAATTCAGACTTATTGCCTTTAATAAGACAGTAAAATTATCGCTCTAAACAGGTCTTGCATCTGCAGCTCGGATATGTGTAGGATTTTAAGGTGTGGGATCTTTTACCACGAATTTGAGATAATTAAAAGAAATGAAGGAAGAAACTGGAATTGGATAATACTTGAAATGAATTCATTTTAACCTTCATTTAAACCCTTTTTTTCATTTAGCAGAGGTTTCCAACCGATGGATTGCTGTAGGTCCAGGAAATCGATGCAAGAAGAAAAGTCAGGAAAAGAAAAGTTTTCTTCTAATGGTTTGCATTTCAAAATATGTTGAAAATTTTTTATTCACTGGTTTTTTGTATGTTAAAAATATTAATTATATTTTTTACACTATTAAAGTTTTGATTTAATTTGAAAATTTGATATAAATTTCCAATCAAAATTTTATATTCATAAAAAGAAAAAGGTAATGTGGTTTTTCTGGTAGCAACATTTGGTTCAGTATTGTGGAAAATTCAGTGGTGAAGGACTGTGGGAACTGGCTATGGATAGTGAGGGTATGTTGATTTGGTTCATACCCGTAATTGCCATAGCTATTTCCCACTGTTTCCCACTGTTTATTCATTTGTATCGTTGCAAATATTCTTATTTTTATTCTTATTCTTATTTTTAAATTAATTTGATTTACGAAAAAAATTCCAGCCATGGAGTAAATAAAATTGGCGATCGAATTAGTGGGAAAGTCAATGGCAGTGAGATCTAGAATGAATTTTGCGAAGCCAAAATTTATTTTACAATAAACAATATAGTATTTACAATATATTAATGCAATATTTTATTTATTTTTACATTTTTACATTAGAGAAAAGTCCTTGCGTAATTATTGATGAATTATTAATTATTAATTAATTGATATTATAAATGCATTATTTATGTCTTATGAAGCAACTGTGTATTGATATACAATATATGTGGGAATTTGATCATTCGGATTGTTTAGTGAGAACAATTCTGGAGAAAAATGAAAGGTCATTGTTAAAAGTTCCTAAAAGTTCCTATCTTAAGGGATTTTCAATTTTCGAGGTGGAATTTTGATATTGGAAATATACCGAAATCGGGCAGATGGGTCATTTTATCATAAAACAGAAAATCAGAATGATGTGCCACCAAGCGACGCCTGTCTACAACTGGAGGGTGGAGATAACTATCAATATATAAAGATTCTAAGATAGCATTGTTCACTATAAAATGTCGGTTGAATGCCTAAGACCTGTTTGGTTGTGGTTTTGTTTTTTGAAAGTGAATCTTATTATTTGGTGAGTTAGAATGCGATATTTTTAATGATGAAATCTCTTGTCATTTCGTCTGAATTGAATTAAATGTTATATGTTATAAATAATGTTTCGGTTTGGTTGTGTTTATGCTTCTCATTTCATTGTGCCATGTAATTATATAATTGGAATGCGGGGTGGTGGTCGATGGCTTAGTTACGAGGTGAATTCCACTGAAAATCGAGTATGGTTTGATTTCGATGCATTACGCTCGGGAAGTAATATCTCCGAATGGAGAAAGGGAGAGAATATGGCAATAATGTTCGAAACGCCGATGCGATTCTACGTAAGTGGAAATTAGCCTCTCTTTAAAAATCTAGGATTGGGTTATTGGGTTAAATCTAGGAGTTCTTGGAAAAAAATTAAAAAAGGTTACTTATTCTAGATTGTTTGAAGCTTTTAATAGGATAAATTGATCGGAACCTGGCATATGTTGTTTATTTGGTATTGATGCCAAAAATGGAGTAAAGACTTTCAATAAAGGCAATGCAGGACCATTTAATTTTTTTTGTTGTATTGATCAATACCTTATAGTTGGCATTTATGTTCGTAATTGGTTGAGATTGTATCGGCAGATGGCGAAGAAGAAATAAGAAAGACCTCAGTGGGATTAAAAAGTTTCTCGTATAGAGGCGAAATATATCAAAGATATTAGCAAATATTAAATATGAAGAATTTTACACTTTCTCTATCTCCAGTTTAAGGTGGGATGGAAACAGTGCATCTTTCGAAATGTTTTTCTCTTTTAATGTGAGTTAAGGGTGAAGAACGAAGACTGAAGACGACTATCAGTTTATGAAAACAATGAGCAAGTGAAGAAGAAGAAGAAGAAGACGAAGAAGAAGCATTTAGTTTTTGTTTGGTACAGGAGATCCAGTGGCCCTCATTATTTGCACTTAAACTTATAATTACTTACAGTTTTTGTTGGGAATTCAAATGGGAAAGGTTCTATTCTTTAAAGACCGTGTAGTGATGTTCATTAATATTTTAATTGAAGTTAAGGACCAATAATGTCGCAAATTGAATAACCTGGAAAATCGATTTCTTCTCTTTTTATCGCCTTATATTCTTTTTATTGCTGTCTTAATTTTATTTATATTCCTGGCCAATAAATACGGTTGCTGGGCGAAATTAGGGTAAATTAGAAAGCATTACTCATATATTTTTCAGCAAAATGGTAAAGTATTTTTTGGTTTCTTTCCTTTTCATTTATAAGGTGGCATTTTTGTTTTTATAGAAATTCTTTTAAGATCAGTTTTTGCATGTCTTTTTTTTGGTTTAGTTGACCTATAATGGTCGTGCATATTGTCTACAGTGTCTATAAAATTTTAAATAATAATTTTTATTAACATGGGGCCCATCGGAAAACTTACTGGGTAGTGCTGTCCGTCTCACACCCGTAGATTTCCGATGTGCACCAGTTAATTTTCCATGTTTTTTCATCCTTTAACTTTATAACTTGATAAAGCACATGGATTAATCCTTTTCATTTTCACCTTTATCGTTTAGTAATTTTGTGCACGTTAAATTAAACTGGTTTAAATTCTCTAATATTTTCGTTTAAAAATTTTGTAGCTGCTTTTCGATCTTCCTATGATTATAATTGATTATTGCTAGCTCGTAGCTCGCCGGAAATCATATGGGTAAGTGTTTTTTATGTTCACACCCGTAGATTTCCGGTGCGCTCCGATCTTTTTTTAAGTTGTCGACTGGCGCATTTAATGAAAATGTTCAAACTGCTTGTTAAATCTCCGCTAAATTTCCTTATGTCTTTATTTAGTGTGGTTTTTTCGGGCGATCTTTTGATCTATTTTTTATTGACTTGGCGAGCTTTTTTTTCGTGGCTTATCCTGGTATTTGCGGCATAAAAGAATGTTATGCAAGGATGAATTTAAAGAATATTTGTAATTAGAAACGATTAAGAAATAAGATAAAAAACAATGGGTGCGATATGAAAGGTGGAGAAGAGGAAGGAGAAGAGCATTAATTGTCTCGGTTGAGCTCTCTGGCGTTAGATCAATTAATTTGTAAACATTCCTTCTTCTTCGGAATATCCGCTCCGAGATGCAAGATTGTTGTGCAATAGTACAAATGCAGGAATTTACAGTTACAGTTATTTCGGTCCATTTCGCACAATATTAAGCAAGACAGATTTGATTCATCGAGAAATGAAATAATGAAATAATATGCAAAAAGTTGAATGAACTACTGGTTAGAACGTACGATCGAGTTTTAAGTTGGTAGAAAAAAGTTCGAGAGGACTTTTTGGTGATGGGTTACGGCAAAAGTGCAGCAAAATTAATTTAGCAAAGTGTAACAAATACAAATAAGAAAAGTAAAGATTAAGAAAAATATAAATACACGAAGAAATACTCAAAATGAAGGTTATTTAGTTAATTTATTTTATAAAATGAGTACTATTATGTAGGAAAATTTAGTTATTTATGAAAAGAATAAAATAGTTTATGAAAAGAAGAAAATCGCAAGAAAGGAATTCGCATGAATTAATCAATGTAACAACTCATTAATCACATGTACAGTGGTGATAACCCGAAATGAATTCAAGTGAAATAGAATAATTAATTAATGAATGATATATGATTGTGAATAACAAAAACGCAAGTTTGCTATAATTTTTTGGCAAAAGCAAGAAAGAGTCGAAATTTATGCTATGATGGCATATGCAGCATGTGGTACCTATCGTCAGCGGAACTGGCCTAATAGTACGGCTTGAAGCCTAAACGGTAGTCTTCCTTTTTAAATGGCTCTATCAGTCGCTTATCAGCGAAGTAAGCGAAAGAAGACAGTTATTTTGCCACCATCTGTGGGGAACGGTGCTGGTGAGTTACTTTTACTCAGTTGATCTTAATCATCGAAATCATCGAAAAGTGATTATTATTCATAAAAAGTTATTGTCTTGTTAAAAGGCACTGAATTGGAGAAAAGTAGCAGTTCTTTGGGTACGTTTTTTGGTCTGATGATCGGCGCGAGCGCTGCCAGTTGGTTCCTTCAGATTCTCTTTCTTTTTTAATAAATTGCTCCAATGTTCTGAAGAAAGTTCTTTTTTACAAAATTATGATCGCAAGCAGACAAATTTTTTTATTTTTTTTCGAAATTGCTTTCCCAGATATTTCGTATTCCTAATTAATGTTGAAAGGAATGTGTTCCCTAATAAAAGTAAATTTGGGCATAAAAAGTCTTTTATTTTTCTTAATCCTTTGTCTTTTTCTTATGGAAAATTACAAAATAATGACAAAATAAAAATAATTGCAATAAAAAAAGAAAAGCAATCAGTCCAATCGAATCGTCGGACCAGTTCTAATTCTTTAGCAATTTCTAAAATGACCAGTTCTTGACAGAAACAAATGCTTCATTAACGTGATAGCTGATCGCTTTTCGAGTACTATTTTTTCGAGGGCTCCTTATAATCTAGTTTTTTAATGAAACGGTTTTTGTGGTTCTGTTTATCATCCAAATAACCAAAAAAAATTCTTGTTTCGATTCCTTCAGCCAATGCCATTTTTTGAGGTTAGCAATAAGATCTCGGAGAAAAGGATATTAAAAGGATATTAAGGGGGATGGTAAAATAATAAATTAAATTATAACTATGTGTATAAATATAAATGCAAATGAAAGGTGACCTTCTGGCGGAAAGGCCTTACGATGCCAAAAGTAGATGCGTGTCAATCAATTTATGATTCTAATGATTTATGCGGTATTATCATATATACACTGGCATCTATGACATATTGTATGTGTCAGAATATATTGTATGTATATGAATAAATACAGAAAAAATACTCTTTCTGGCACCTCTGAGAGTCCTCAATCTAGGGTACTCTACAGGTGTCCTTGAAGATTCTATATACACTATCCTGGCTATTTCGAGTTGACGGGGATACGTAATGTTGTTACTGGAATTTAAGGCTACTTTTCCAGTTTAGGAATGATAACCCTTAATTTTTCTACCTACTGGGATCATTTTGGCATTCTTTTTCAACATATTCTCTTGTTCTTTTTTCAGCTTCTGGTATTTCTCCATTTCTTTTTCTCACTCCTTCTTTCTGATATTGCTGCCAGTTGATATTTCTATATCTGTCACTAATGCTTATTTTTAATTCTTTTCTACGATATGTGGTTGAATGGTATTTGTTTGTCTATGGCTGGGAAATTCTCATAGGATCTTCGCTTTATTATTCTCGAAGATTTTCTGGAAAGTCTCCCATTTGGTTTTGGCACATCTAGTCTATATATTGAGCAGATGTTCTTGAGGCAGTTCCAGTTACTTGGTTATACCTTTCAGAAAATGCCCGCATATGCACTTTGAGTCCTGTATAAAGTGCTAAATGCATCTAGTGTTTAGTATATTACTGTGACTGTTTAGGTGCTGTTAGTCTTTTAGTCCAAGTTTTTCCAACAACCTCAGTGTGAGAGATAGCTTAGATATATGTCAATTGGTTTTGTTGGAAAGATTTTGCCTTGACAATTCATAAGTAGAAAGTTAAGTGGTTAGCGCCCACTGTTTTAATTCACTCATCACTCTCGATGTGATATCGATATACATAAATCAAAATATTGACCGAAAAGTAAAGACCGAAGCTATGTTTTTCGTTATCCAGGGGTAGCCGAGTGAATAGTGGCTTAGGCTTAGGCCCGGATGTCTCCGAGAAGGGTCATTAAAAACGCTGCGACGACTTGCCTGTCCGTACTTTTATCGCCAAGTGACTCCATGGCAAAAATTTCTAATCGTGCCAGCAACCAGCGGAACGAGCGTAATGGATTGATGAGCGCTAACCATTTAACCTTCTCACTTATATTTTCAATAATTCAATAATTATCAACAATAATTGAAAACAAAATAATTTTTTCGACATCAAAACTCCTAACAATAGTCGAAATGAAGTAATATTAATTTTATTCATTATTTTTATGTATTCACATTTATTTATTTATTTATAATTTTATGCGTAAAGAATTTTTGATTACATTTGTCAATTTATTTTGAAAAAAGTTGCAAATATTTTATTCATAATTTCTATATTCTACATTCATATTGAATAGAAAAAATTCATTCATCACCTGATAATATTTTGATTTCCTCGAAAGAACGCCGATGATACGGTGGCCACAATTAGTAGCGATAAGTAAGAGATAACTTTCAGAGAGGACATATTTCGCTGGGAAAAATATACGTTCGGATGAAATGCAAATATTCGCGCGTGTTCGAAACTCTCACAGTTCTTTACGGTTTCTTTATAAATGAGTTGGAAAAAAATAATTTTTGTACAATTCCGATGAGATCGAATTAGCGGTTAGTGGCTTTAATGGCGAAATTTTGAGCTTTTCCATCGAACCATTCGCTTTTATATCGATAAATTCAGGTATATTTCAGATAATTGTCCCTCCCATCATTACACGTCGAATTTTTACTATATGCAGAGAAATACCGCCCAATTCACAATCGTCATCCACTGTCTACAACATGGTTCTAGCAAAATTTATCCTTGCATTGCAAAAAATAAGATCAGAAGAGAAGTAGATGCACGAAATTGGTGCCGGCGGTCAGCATGTACTTATGACTCTCTGGCAGAAGAATGAACAAATGAGATCAACCAGACTAGAAATAATCACTTCTTTTTGGTTAGCGTCACGAAATTTTTGATGTTCGAAATATTTCTTGCCAAAACATATTAATTCAATCAACAAAATGATATAATTTCAGCTAATTTAAATGATTATTTGATCAATTGATTAAGACGAAACATTAATCCAAGAAAAAATTGAAAATACATTTTGATCGGTTTATTGAACATTATACTACTTTCCATTTCCACTCGTTTTTAAGGAAGTTTCGGTGGACCTAGCGCTGCTGCGGAATTGCAGTTACAATTTTAAAGTTTCGAAGTTTTATCAATTAATTAATTTAATAATTTTACTTGAATTTATATGGTTAATATTTAATATTTCTTTGAGCTTTGAGTATTCGCTAATTCAAAATTCACTAATTTTTTGAATGGTTATTATAGCGCGAATAATTTCTAAACGTCTTTTAATAGGCAAAATGACGGTGTACTATGTTCCTTCAGACATCATAGGTTCACTTCATTATAAAAGATTTTGCTGACGATCACTGCTTTCTTTATAATAAAGCTAGCTGTAAGCTAGCAACTTTATACCTCATATTGAGTTCCTTAATAGTCAAGTCCAAAGTAAAAATAGTGAGTACCATCGAGTAACGGTGGGTGATTTATGTGTAGTTGACGATGGTAATCAATCGTTGCAAACAATGAACTTGAAATTTTTGATGAAAAACTTATATGATTAACAAAAATTAATAGTTAATGTTCGCTTTCTGAAACTCGCTTTCTGATAACAAATCCTGGAAGCTTCTATTTAAATGCAATGCTTAACAAAATTCTCTAGCGATTATACGGTGCACTTGGTCATTTTTTTAAGAAATTGGTCACTGGTATGAACAAATAAAAACTTAAAAATTTCATGAAATTTTTGCAGAACTAGTTTATCCATTTAGTTTACATTTTACTCAATATTTGTTAATTTAAAACCGTCGAATTTAAAAAAAGATTTTTATGATGTTAGAACCAAATAAATTGGTTTAAGCTTGTGGAAAAGCTAAAATTTTTTTGCAAAACTAATTTTCTATTTAAGAAAGGATTTAACATGATTTTTCGCCTGGAAAAATAAATATTAAGGAATTAACATGGAAATTTTTTCAAAATTTTACGAAATTGTATTTGGAATTCTTGTTTTATTACCATCATAACTCTTTTAAATTATTGTAAATCGAGTACATCGTAAGTTTTATACTTTTATGTGCAGCTTTTTCACGAGCGCACGAAATTGCGCATAGTGCCGTCTAGCACGTTTTCTGCTCCTATTTTTCGCAAAATAAAGGTCCATTCTTTGCACTTCTCCTTTCATATCCACTAAATTCTGGAACGATTCAGACTGCAATTAATGATTTCTCTAAATACCAGCATAGCGGAAAAACCAGACTTAAGCAAATCGTTGTGACGTAACACCTAAATAGTTTGCTTAAAACGAAAAAAAAACAAGTTTTTATAATATTGAGCGTATCTATTTCATTCAACGATTTCTATATTATATGATTTGATTTAAGCGAAAATAAGTGACAAATTCATGGTTTTCTTGAGATCAAATTTTCCCAAAGTAGGGATTTGGCTTGATTTATTTTATTGGATTTGTTAAAATCTTTCCCTTTTTAAATGCTTTTAAATTACTTTTAAAGAGGCCGAAGCGAATCGAGACGCCAACCAAATGCACTGCAAGCTGCTAGAAGGATCGCCGGTTCAACAGGCAGAATTCCCGAAGGGAGAATTCGCAAAATTGTCAGTACAACCCAACCATGAATGCGTAAAGATGGCCGGCCCATGCTTATGAGGACGTTGCACATTATATTGTACTGTAAACACTTTACACTTGTTTTTCGTCTTCTAGAATACGATAACAACTTTATACGGCAACGCCTCGTTTTTCTTCTATTTACATTCATATCATTATTATAAAAATTGAATGGCCATGTTTGAGGACGACTACAATCTATTAAATATTTTTTTGGCCGAAATGAAGATACGATACAAATCGGGATGAAACGAATAATCGGGATGAAATGTAGAGCCAAGGCCAAATCATCGAACTTCGCTTGTAATACGACGAAACGAAGTTTTTTTATTTGCCCTTCTTCACAACTTTTTTTACGGGAATGAATAATAATTTAATCACTTTCTCAGTAAAGTGCAGCATTTTAATTAATCATAATTTTTAGCTCTTTATACAACAACTTTACACCATTATTAATTTGGCAGGCTACACTGATTACAACGGAATGCATTTCAATGCCCCTTGATCAGACAAATTTGGAAATAATAAAAGTAAAAGCTTTCCTTACTGATTGAGTCCGTCCACAATTAGTTCCGTGGAATTTGCATTTGTAGACTTCTTGGCAGTTTTTTATTTTTTTTATTCCTAACTATGGTTTTCATCTTTTAGGATTCGATATTTTTGAAAAAAATTTGTAAAATCCCTAACAGTGTGCAGTATTCGCAGTCATTGTAAAATGATTTGTGAAAATGGCTATTCGTTGAAGTAGTTCATTACATTTCATTGTTCGTTAGATTTCATAGAATTTAACGAAATTTCCATCGTCAACATTTTCCATATTTATTTGGGAAGGAGAGGGAGGGGAGTAGAGGGAGGCCACGCTTAATGATAATAAACAAACAAAAAATAGCGACAAAGAATAAAGAAAAACCATTCGCGATTAATTGACAATTTTAAGAAATGTAAGTCGAACCAATGATGCCTGGTCTTGGTCAATTCAGGATAAAACTCGCGTATTTTTCTATAAAAATAAAACGACAATTTTGTTGTAAATATTCCTTAAACTTTATGTTAGGAAGTTAATGAACTTTAATAATTGGAATATCGAGAGAAATTTGTTAAATATAAAAAAAAATAGAAATTTATTAACTAATAAATCATTTGCCTAATAGATTATTGGTTTTGAGGGCGATTAGTAAAAACGAATATATTTTTCAGAATATATTTAAATTTTTAAAATATTACTAATTTCTCGTTTCTATAATATCTGTGTAATATTCAATAGGTTTGTGCTCATGGCTGATATACTCATGGCCCCATATTTCAGAACTAAAAAAGTGGTTGCTCGTACTTACATTGTATGTATTCGGAAATTCACAATGGTTTCAATTTAAAATATTTAAAATACACTTTTTCCTCAAAAAAAAATCTAAACCACTAAATATAAAATATAAGCAAACAAATAAATGATGAATATATTAATAAACAAATTCATTCCAAATAGATGGTACCACGAAAAGCATAAAATATTTGCAATGATCCTCGTTTTGGATGATCTGAAATTTGTATCACATATAAGTTAATTTTATCCGAGCAATTCGAAGCGAAGATGATTTTGAATCCTCAACAATAACAATTACAAACAGATTAATCGTTTTTCCATTAAAATCTGGTTTCGTTTTCAATATCGCCGTTTCAACTGGCTCAACCTGCAATTTATTATTACAAATGAATTAGCAGTGAATGCAACAAATTAGTTGCATAATGAATAGTGAAGTATCAAACCGTTTCCATTTCATAAATAACAGGTTCAACTCCACAAGATTATATAGATAAATTTCATGAACCGTACAATTCTCTTTCAACATCAATTCTAAGCATTTTTTCGATAAGCTCAGTGACTTGACGCCATAAAAATCCATGACCGTGATAAAGATGCATTTTAAGGATGCTGTAGCCAAATGCGAAAATAGTTGCAAATATGAGCAGATCACTATCTAATGGAGCAAATCCACTAATCACTAATCTAATGGAGCAAAAATCACAGAGGTGACTTCCAAATAGATACGGCTATATAAAGAATCTGAATCATGAAAGATTAACGTTAAATATCAGCCGCTTTACTTGAATGGCTGCTTTACTTTAAATCTTCTTTTATTTCGTTTTATATTATTGTTTTATGTGATTAGTGTGGTTATATATTGTTTTTTTTTATATATTGTTATTGAGAATTAAAATAAAGATTGATTTACCCAAGCCTGAGGGTTCGCAACGAGATAATTAAGAAGAGAACGTTGCCTGCGAGAGTTTATAATATTGTTGAGAAATAAAAATCCCGCGTGGCAGGAAACTTATTAAATCCATATAGAAAGAAACACAGTGGAGCGGATTCCCGAAGCAATTTTGTAAACGTAGAGATTGGAAGTGGGAATCATCGTGCTCCCAACGAAAAATTCATATTGCTAAGAGAACTTTTTTCTGTACAGATGCAGCAGTGGAGCAAAGTGGAAATAAGCAGTGTTATCAGTATTTGAAATATAACTAGGAATTTGCAACTAAGTCGTAAAAGGCAGCTGCAGAAATAGGTTTAAAATGGCGCTAATAATGAATCGAAACAAAAAACAAAATAGAGCAGGGTTTTAGGCACATTGAGGTATTTAATGGAATTTGGAATCGTTTACGCAAAATATTACAAAAAATTTCGGGGATATCATGAACTTCAGCACAAAAATGCCAATATTTTGCAATATGGCAGAATATTAGTGCGTGTAATGAGAAATGACAGGATTATATTAAAGGATCACAGCGAAGATTGACGGAATTAATACGGTAGAAGAATAATGGAATCTGTGGTATTAACAAGAAAATGCAGTTTGATAAGGTTTTTACGACAAACGAATTATGTAGATGTGAGAGTCATAAAAAGTTTCGAAATGTTCTGAAGAACAGAACAGACTACAGTGGCGATGATAAATTAATGCAACAGAAAGAGTTTTAGGGTAGTGACAAATGATTTGCTAATTACTAATGGAATATATCCCACTGCTATAGCAAAAAAGTACAGCAAGGTTAAGGGAAGAAGGAAGTTTTGATGAAAGACGATAGGTTTACGAAGAAAAGTGTAACAAAGGCCTGAACGGCAGTCATAGGGGTCCAAGATGTTATTAACGGTTTTCGTCAAAAGAGTTTTTGCTCCACTGGCCCGTCGAATTAAACAAATATATCAGAAAACCACTCCTAGGCGACCTAAATGCAGGTGATCTGCAAGCAGAAGAGAATATACATGGCTCGCACTAAGCTTAAAATTATTTTACGATGGTGAAATAAAAAAGGCCTATCTATGATAGTCATATTTGAATAGGCAATTTGTAGTCAATTAAAACAAGCTTACTCCTCACAACATTTTGTCATTTCAAATAAATTTTCTTCTTTTTTAAAACTTATAAATTTATACACTTGGATAAAAAGTTCCTCACGGACCGTTTTGGTGAGATTTTGGTGAGTGTAGATTGCTTACGTAACAAATCTCTTCATCAACTTCACTCACCATAAAAATCTTACAAAATAATTCCTTGATTTTTTATCTATAAAATAAAAATATTTACAGACCATAAAATGCTGAAAAATTCATAAATATGGCAGATTTCAAGGGATATCATAAATTTTTGCATGAATCCAAGCTTGATCTGACACTGCGCTTATCCCCATGTAATAACCAAATCACAGACTATCTCCTCCTCTTTCCCCCACCCTCGCTTCCATCCCCTATTACCCTTCCTCAAGATTAAACAACATAAATTGTGCGCCTACTACCACAATCTTACAGTGAAACTTTCACATAAACATAGCGTTCATATCTAATGGAACAAAACTTCATCGACCATATAAAATTCGCTTTTAAGACCAAAAATAGATGCAAGTAGAAATTAGAAAAATAAAATTTTACTAAAATCTCTTGTTTAATTCGCACAACCAGATTGAAAATACGATAACCAATGCAATTACAATAAACTACATCTGAAAAAAAATTTAAAATTAAACAAATTTTCTCGCAGGTCTCTATTTTATTTTTTGATAAATTAATGATCACTGTGGTCATTTTCTTTTTTCATCTCCAAATAAAATAATCGAAGTTTTCTGCGTCAAAAAGAGTTTGATTCATTTCCATGCAAAAAGTATAAAAATAATTGTGGGAAGGCATGGAACTGAAAAAAAATTCGTTTCAGCAGCTAAACAAAAATTTGATAAAAACTTGTACTTAAATTTGTGTACTTCACAAACAAATATAAGATATATACAGAATGTTTCATAAATTTAAATAAACCATAAAAATTGAGCTAAAAATCTACAATATGCAATGAGCTACGGTTTATAGTTCAACTACAGTTCTACAGTTAATAAATTATGCCATGTATAATATAAGTATATACTTATATTATATATATAATAAATATGCATAATATATAAATATACAAATATGTAAATATATATATATATATATAATATATATGACCTGCAAATGAAATTTAAATTCTGAATGATAATTTAACGAAGATAAACCCTAAAATAACAAACTTATTCGTTGCGTAGCAATAGCTAATATTTCATTAATTTAGTGTATAGCTTCAGAAAGAAAAATTTAAAAATAATATAAATTAGCCGCGTGATAAAATTTTGAAAGAATTTAGCACAAATAAACCTTAACAGCTTTAATCCTAAATAAGAATAACAAAAATTTTCTGAGAATAAAATAAAATCAAGAATACGTGATAATAGAGATTCCCTCAGTGAAAATCAGAAAAATCACATTGGTGAAGAATAAAGAAATTTTTATGAACACTTTATTCTTCCATATTTTTTAAAGTGTGGAGAGTACACTTCAATGAATAGTGCATTATTGGCCATCTTTTAATAAATATTACCGAATTGCCGTAATTTTAATGAGCTATCACCGCCACATGAAAATAATCGCATTTGGGAATCCATATAAAGCTGTTGAACACCCTGAACACTACTTGATGCCACTTGCCGCAGACTAAAACCAACACGATTGGCATGCTCACCACTAAATTTCATATGTAGCTGTGGTGCGACTTCGTTGGTCCAAACCTGGAAAATGACTAGAAATAAATTATTTTCCTAACCAAATTTCGCAAAATAATATAAAACAAAAAATACTATTATATCGCCTTCACTTGAACCAGCAATAATATATTCATTTGAGGGATCAGTAATCAAGCATTTCACAATAGAACTATCGAAGGCTTTCAATGTACCACGCAACTGTCGTTGTCTTAGATCCCAAAAGCAAATTTCGCCACGTCTGCCACCAGAAACGATAGTCTGCAATAATATACCTTGTAATATTTTAAATGAAAATGAAAATTTCAAATAACTAGATAAAATCAAATATAAAATAAAATATGAATATAAAAAATACATACAAAATATATAATACATACTTGATTAGAAGGAAAATATAAGACGGAAGCTGCACCCTCGGGATGCGCTGTCCACGACTGTACTAAAGCCTTCGACTGAGGCATTAATGTATCCCATAAACAAACATTTTGGTCACTGGAACCACTCCCAACAGTGACAAGAACTGATGATGATGAATCGAGGAATCTCACATCTGAGGCGGATTTCGAATGACATTTTTGATTCTAAACGGATTCTAAACTTGAAATGGGTGAAAATAAGAAAAAATTAAAGAAATGAGAGAGTGAATAGTACTGAATCGATTTTTTTTTAGTTTTCAATTTAATTATAATCTTGAAACCGAAATTAAATTTTTAAAATTGCTTTTAAAAGAAATTTTTAAAAATTACAAAAAAAGGCTTTCTTATAGGAAGACCCTGAGAGGCTTGCCATAAACAAAGCAATCCATCGTTATCTACCGCCGCAAATTTATTTCCATTTATTGAAAATTGGACTTTTGTTACCTGAAACAGGCGTATTAGAATCATAAGTTAAAAAGTTCCATAAACACAAATACGAATAAAAATTGGAAAAAATTGATGCATAAAATTAATTAAGCACAACATTATCACACTGTTCAATCACTATGAAAAAAACCTTTGCATACTGCCCAGCCACTCGAGGGGTGAATAAAGGTTGGCCAGTGCCCCATTCCCATAAACGTATGGACCCATCCGCTGATCCACTAATATCTGTAAAAATCAGGATAAAAATCTTTTTTTCAATCTCAATATATATTTCTTCCTTGATTTAATTCATATAAAAAAGATTTGAAATTCTTTGAAACTAAAAAAAACTTACAATAAGGTAATGATGGATGTGAATCCATTCTTCGAATACCAGTAACATGTCGTTTAAGTAACTGAAAATTGAAGAATTTTGATAGAAAATAAGACTAAGGACAAAGTAAAAGACAAACTTCCAATGTAAACAAAAAATCCACACTATTTACAATACTTCTCTTATAAATACCACAATGTGCTAATCATGATAATTACGTGATTATTTATGACCATGGGATATACTATAAGGAAAGTTTAGAAAATTCTTTTTTCTGATTTGGCAGATCTCGTAAAATAAAAAATGAAAAAGAAAAAAAAAGAAAAAATTAAGCTAACTCATCAAAAAAAATTAAAACTAATAAGTTAAAACTAAAATCCTATTTACTAACGTAAATAATAAACGAAAAATGCATTTTCTTTATAAATATTCAATATAACAATACAGTTCAATTTAAAACGAATATGAATGGCGGATAACTGAAAACAATAACTAAAGAATAGAAAACAACACTGCACATACCACCATCACCACAGCAAGATATGAATAAAATCAAAACGCAATAATTAAATCAATTAATAAGGAATTTTCCTATTAATATTACCATTTTTCAAAGACTACCCAATTTTTTTACTCCTAAAATGTCATCAAACAAACTATGAATTAATGAAAAAACAAAAAAACCTTTGTCAAGGCCTTACGGCTTCGATCAATGATAAATGTTGTAAGCTGTGAAAAGAAAGAATGAATAAATGCTGAAAGAACTTAAAACAAGCTAAAGCTCATTCCTTTTTCTCGTTCGCCCAGTAAAAAAATATTTCAAATCATAACAAGGCTTAAAACATAATAAAACAAGAGAAACACGCTCTTTATGTTCAAAAAAACCATTCCTGCATGAACATTCCATTAAGCTTTCTTCCATCTCGTCTTAATATATATATTATATATCAAATAGAATATCAAAAACAAGAAAACTTTTAATTATTTGGGAAAACATACAAAGTTTGTTGAAGATACTTTTCTTCCATCATCGATTAGAAGTTGATAATCATCATTGGCCTTGAAAAAGAAATATTAATTGGATTCATTACTAAATTTTTTTTAAACATTAATCTCCCTTTTTATTTAGCAGCACTCTCTTTGCAATAGCTGGCCTCACTGAATATAAATTTCGAGCACCATCTAATAGCTTCTGAATAGCTTTTACAAAACTGTACCTTCACTACATCTTGTTTTAATTCATTAAGACTTATATCTAGTTCAGTTCTATTATTTAACCACGAAGATGATTGTATATTTTGATAGCAATTCAACAATGAACTTATGTCGAGTTCCTGTAGTTCGCGAGTTGTAGCGACAACCAACCAATTTGGTTTTATCTTAAATCAAATGTGAATCTGAACAAAAAATTTGGAAATGAATAAAAAGTTTTAAATTCCATTAAAAACCATTGATAAATGGGCCAAAAAACATCTTGAAGGGCCGCCCTGATTCAGTTAAATAAAAATTATACTTGACTGCAAGCAAAAGCAGTGATTGGTTCATTTTCTCTCTGAACTATTTTGTAAACTTCATGGGGTTGATCGTTGTCAACAATGGTTCCTTCCTGTTTCGCATTCAACTGAAGAAAAAAATTTTAAATACATTTAACCAAAATAAAGCTTTTTTTTCATTTTTCCAGTTAACCTGTTCCTCTTCTTCTTTTCTTCGGAATATATGCCGAATAAATATTTGCATAAGATGATTCTGGCGAACAAGATAAGACCATAAGCGTCGAACTGGTAGCATTATACGATCATCGCATTCAAATGGAGTGTTTCTAGGTTCTAGTAAAACTCGATATTTACGTAACAACGGACCTGCAAAAATCTTTTCTTTTGCAGTAATTTATACAATTAATTATGCTTCACAATATTAAAACAATTGCTAACATTATACTGAATTTTTTGTCATCAAACAATTTTCAAGAACTGATTAAGTAACTAATACCAAGATGATTGTCGGTCTGATCAAGTGCAGAATTTGGAAGTAATTCGACTGCGCAGCTAGTAGGATATGTTGATAATTTTTCAACTAGTTGCCTTCCCCACGATTCGAGTAAAACGAAAATTGAATTGACTTTTGGAGAGACTGCAGGTAGTTCTATAAACCAAATGAATATTCTATAAAAGAAATGAATATTTAAGAGAAGAAATTGAATCAACAGAATATTTGAAAATTTTTGAATTTTAGCAAAAAATAAATAACATACCGATGAGATCAAAACCAGCCAGTGTAACAAATTGTTTTAGCCTATACAAATGCTGTTGAACAAGTGCTAAACGCATGATTGCCCAAGAAAAGCTTTCTGGATTATTGTTCTCAATAACTTTTTTCTTTTCACCATTTTCATCCTCATTCACATCAACATCCGCACTAATTTCATCATTAGAATCATAATCAAATCCAAGTTCTTCTTTAGTTTCCATGTTGGGCTGAAAACAAAAATAAAAATAAAAAATAAAAATTGATACAAAAGAACAACGTATATTCAAAAATAAAAAGAAAATAAATTCGTACTTTTTCAGCAAACATTTGAACAATATTTTTTTTGGGTGCCACCCAACGGTAGACTGTTTGTTCAGATGGACACATAACAGAAGATACATTTGGATGAAATGAAACATTTGCAGTAACACATGCCGAACCAAAAATCTAAATCAAAAATTGAAATTGGCAAACTAAATTTAAACTTAGATTAATTAACTTAGATTTAGTTTCATCTTTACCTTAGCATTATATTTACTCCGAAATGCCAAAGAATCTGAAGTTTTTTCCTCAGTAGATATTTCATCATTTTTTGTAGAGGAATGTACGATTTCAGGCTCTGAAAGTTAAAAATCAAACAAGAAAAAAAATAAAACTGTTAGCGATAAGATCCTATTTTTCAAACATATAAGATGGTTACTTGGAGGTCGAATAGGCTGTGCAGCTTTCATCCGTTTCTCCCCACCACCACCAAAAATGCTAGCAAATCGCTTTGAATCGATTGATTGAGCAGCTAAACGATATAGCCATCGGGAATCGTAAGCAGTGAACGCATAAACAAAGAGAGATGTAGAGACCTTAAAAAGTAGAAAAGACATTGAAAATAAAATGTCCGGACAAAATCTTATGCATATATATTGATGATTATGTACTAGATGGAAATCATGCAGATTATAAATGTGGAAATATAATAATAATAATATTTGTTTAATATCTGTGGAGGGCAAAAGCATATGCAGAAATAATTTTGAAACGACATACCGCTACAAATACCTGGACGAGTAACAATCGTAAATGTGAGGTTTCTTCACCCTTTTCACGGCACAACAAGGCAACAAGGCTGTCCACGCCCGGCCATTTTGAAGGAATTGTTGTCACTACCAAGTTTTCATTAGAACTTACGAAACGAGGTCGCCGCGTTAAAATTCTATATCAAAAAGAAAAAATAAAGAAATATTTAAATAAAAAAAATGCAATTAAATTAAAATTATCTACTGACCCCAATGACTGATTCGTCCATGACTGGCAAAAATTTTCAACATCGCACAAGGACTGATACAAACAAGACGACAAACCTTGGCACAAACTATACAGCATATATATCTGAAAAATAAAATTTCAAAAGGATTTTTGGCATATTTTCATAAAACTACTAAATTAAACAACTTTCTAAAACGGCGTACCTTGCCAAATGATGTATCAAGCCTTGGAGGTTCTTCCAATTCTGCTAGTGATAACAAAATATCAGAACACTGATTATTGAGGAATCGTAACGGCGAAGATACGAACATTTTATTAGATGATACAGAAGCCATTAAAAGAGGAAAAGACGATAGCACAGGCATTGGTTCTAAAAAGAAGAATGCAATAAAAATGATTTGAATCAGTTTTGCACTACTAAATATTACTTCTAACCAAAATTAGACTCCAAAAAAATTTGTGAAACAAGATTTCTACATATATCAAATATTTTAATACTTTTTTTTATAAAATAAAATTATCATAAAAAATTATCATCATAAATCTATATTCTGGAAATTTTAAGACAATCAGTTACTCTCAATATTCTCTCGAATGTAAACAAAAAAACCACAAAATTTGAAAAAAAATCATTAAAAAAACCTTGTTGTATTTCAAGAAGCAAAAGAAGCAATTCCATTAATGCAGAAGTCAAACGAGGATTTTGCGCGCTATGCAAAGTACAATAAAGGGTAAACGCTCTAATCAATTTTTGATTTTTATTAAGCCAATTACGACGAAGTAGAGTTGTTTTCGTGCGAATAGCAAGCTGCAGATGATCGGAATGCAATGCTTCATGCAAAGGCATATTCGTACTACTACAAGATTCTTTCATTACGGTTAGAATTTTTGTAAAGGTAGAAAGATGCAGAAAGATCTAAATTTTGATATCAAAATTTCATAAAAATTTGAACCTCAAGTCGTCATAAGAATCGTCCACATCTTCCCATTCATCAAATATTATGCCGTTATCAACTGTTTCAGAATCACACAAATCTTTCAGAACGTCTATTTCTTTTTCTAACCATTTAAAAATCTAAAACTGTTAAATTATAGGTTGCTAATCGAAGGCCGATTTCTAAAAAAAATGACTAAGGAACTCGCCTGGAATCTTAACTGTCCACCATCAACTTCAAATCCACTTGCTAAAGTTGATAATTCCTGCACCAAAATTCTTAAAATTGCAACGAATTTCATATGCTGAGCAATAACGTCAAGATGACTATTAACACTACTTTCCTGTAAAAGTTTATATCGCCTATAACAAGCGTAAATTTTTTTCGAATAAATAAGTTAATGGCATTCACTGCTTAGAAAATATATATTAATTAACACAAAAATAAAACCAGAATTACTCGACCTCAGATAAGACAACATACCACTCCAGTTCATCCCAAATATCAGATCTTTTTATTGATTTTTAATATTTTTAAAAATAAGACCTGCCCACCTGACTAGCTGAATGGTCTTAAAATGTTTTGAGGCAACTTTGGGCTCAAATTTGTTACCTACAAAAAAACTACAAATCAAGTTACAAAATTTTTACACTCAAAAATTTCAATTATTCTCCTTTAATATCCTCGCTCCTGTCTCACCACATACTTCCATTGCATTACATCAATAACCCTCTACATAACTGCATCAATAACCCATCGTCATGTTTTGCGATTTTATAATCGGTGGTGAATACACCAAAAGTATACTGCGAAATTAAAGGCTGAAGAAATATGCAATAAGGGAACATAATGAATAATGGTGCTGAAGAATCACGATTTTTCACTAACAATTTTTTCCTAAAGGTTAAAATAGCGGAATATAACAGGTTAACGAAGTTTAAATGAAATTAATAGTTGAAAATATCAAGTCTTAGGAATATCAAAAGACACAGTGGATCACAAACACTGGCCAATAGACGCGTTTTTTCAGGAAAATCATAAACCATTTATCTTGTTATATAAATATTATATAAAAATATATAAATATTATACAAAAAAAGAAATGACCTCAACAAAATTGATTCGCTGATTATTCATTTGCACATTTCCATTTTCTTTGGCAGTATTGCTAAGAACATCATTATCACGGTCATCATCACTCCATTCTAATTCTAGATCATCATCTTTTAAAATTCTGCTTGGAGCTGACCAATCAAAATTCTCTACAGTATCACGTTTTATTTTCGAGTTCTAAAAAATGGTGGAAAAAATTTTTTACAACCAGAATAGCATCTAAAATTCAGTAGATATTTAATTTTTAATTGGTAATATTGTAAATTAAATACTATTGCAATTTTCGTTGATATTATTAGTTATTTTGATGAAAAAATTTGGTTTGTAATATGAGTAAATTAGAAATGAAATTCTCATTAGATATATAAAAAAAAGTAGATATGAAGAGAAATTATGAATTGAGTAGTCTGTCTATTCTACGTTCAAAAAATGAAAATTTATAATTAAAGATTAAAAAGATAGTCTCTACTGAGACAGAAGAATAATCATAAGCTGCAATTTGAAGAAAATTAAGCTTACCACTATCTCATAAACAATTAATCAGTTACTAAATAAAAAAAGAGTACCTTATTACCACTGAAAAGATTTAATAAAGACGATGAATCGGGTTCAACAAGATTCATTTCTTTCGGTAAGCGTTTTAAAACGTTTAAAGCAAGGAACGGACATCCAGAAACCAAATGCGCACTTGCAGTGCGAAAATATAAACGGCGTTCATTAGGTGTGACATAAGCTTTAACATGCTTGGCAATAACCAGAAATTTTTCATTGAGACCCACCTGAAAGATAAATAAGAAAAGATAAATGAGAAAGTCGTTTGCCAAAAGGAATAACTAATGTAAAGTTGCATCAAAAAAAGGATTATATGAAATATAAGACAATATTTATATCTTACTGACAGAAAACCCCGACCCACGTAATAAAATTGTCCTCAAACTCTGGAACAACTCCAGGCATTTCCTCAAAATTCGTTATGCTTCCTTGAACCCTTTAAGCCATACCTTTTCACAGCAGCTGAATCTCCACAGTTCTTCCTCAATATTCCAGTTCGCTGTTCATTCATTCACACTACCCACCGTAATTTTACTCTTTGTCAGTTTATTTAAAATTTGGCGACTATAGCAAAAATTGCCCAACAAAGTTTAATACAGTGTTAAATAAGTGTTAGATGATATGGATGTGTGGTGTTAAGAAGCTCACAATTGAATCTAAGGGGAATAAAGTGGGAAAAAGAAATTTAAATATTAATAACGAATAAAAATGAACTTTTTGTTCAGCAGGATATTGGGGTATCAAGATGACTTAATAGGGTTTAAGAAAGTTTTCAACTAAATATGATATGTTAATAAGAGAATAGCAATAATAATTGAGCATTACAGGAACATATCAGGATTTCAGCGGGTATTAAGAAGAAGATCGGGAAAAATTTTCATAAAATCTCGCAAATTTTTGAATAAATAAGATATTATCAGTACCAGAGACCAATGTTTAAATTTTTTTTTAAATTTATTTCAAATTTAACTTGATTAATGCAAATAAAACAATGGTAAAAAAAAAAGAACCTGAACTTCCACATCAGCGAGTTTTTGACGCATAACCAGAGGATGATTGCGAAGAAATATGTAAAAATTGAAGATATCTGAAAGTGAGCAGTCTGCAGGACACTCGAAATGATCCTTACTACCTTCTTCAAGTAATGTCGAAGCGGCCTGAGAATATTCTTTCAGATGCCAGAAGGCCATCGATCGCTCAAAAGGGTCACTAAAATTCCGAAAAAATGGATGAAGGATAAAAATTAACGTGATGTTAAAGAACTGAAAAAAATAGATAAAAAAAATTTTTATATAAAATATTTATAATCTCGTGTGAATTTTACCGGCTAGCTTTTGGTGAATCAACACTGCAGCATTTATTGGCATTATTTCCATCATTAATACCAAGAATCTCATGGCATAATAACTGTCTCATCATAGCACACTGCTTTTCAAGATCATTCTCATATAGTCTTATAATGACCATGGCAAGTTGCAGATCATTTAATTTGTTGAGGATAATCTGGAAAGGAAATACAATCAAGATTTTTTTCATCTCATAATTTTATTTTTGCTTATAATATTCAATCGAAATATGATGAAAAAATTTTAAAAAATTCCATTAAATAGTATGTTATGACCATAAGTATTTCTGAAAAAAATTCAGAAAAAAATTTATTTCAAAATTACTTGCCCGAACGGCATCATTAAGTGATCCTGCAAGCAAAAAAAACGCTGCAGCATTTTCAAAACGTTGTTTTCCCATAAGAACAAAAGCATTTTTTAATGCAGCTTTTTTCCAACGCTCTTCCGCAAAATCTTGCATAAAAAAATCAGCCATTTTCTGGTCCTTTATTGTCTAAAGAATTGAACAGATCAAAAAGAAAAATTGATATATATTGCATTTTAAAGAAGGCAGCTCTGATTAATGAAAGCAATAAATTAAAATAAATGGAAAATTAATGAAATCTGAAGATTAACAACCTTGAATAAATGTGTTAACACGTTCTTTTTTCTTATAGCCATATAATATAAAGATGCGTCCATTGGATTTTGATGCAATTGAAAAGCAGATTTTGCTAACTGTTGACAAAATAAATTAATGTTTGTAAATAAATTAGATTTAAATTAGATTTCTTCTATCCATTATAGAATGAGTTCGGCAATAAAATTATAAAACTCATAAATTACAAATTTTAAAACAATAATAATGGATAATAATTACGGAACAAAAAAGGGGTAAAAGTTTAAAAAATTTATAAAGTTTATATAAAAAATTAAAAATTAAATAAAAAAATTAAAAGAAAAAATGGGACCTTTTCGATAACAACTTTCAAGGAAGAGGTATTCTTCAACCACCATGCTATACCCAATGAACGCAAATCTTCCCAACATAAATTTACTTTATGTAATGATGGAATAGCATTTAGGAGCTCTGTTTCAGTTTCAGAATGCAATGCCCAAATAATATTAGAAGAAGAAATACCTCTGAAAAAATCTCTTGTACTAATTTTTTTTTCATAGATCAATTACCCTACATTAATTGTTCATCAAAAAGAGACTTAATATAGATTGATTCCCACAATTTATCATAAATAAATTTTTATATTTTATCAAAGAAAGGAGCAAATATAAACTTCTGCTTTAGAACTTTTTTTTGCAATAGTGGAAGACACAGCAAAAGATATTCATGTTGTTTCATAGCCATAAGAAAACGAAGACCGCATTCATCGACGCTTTCGATTCCTCTTGCTGTTGCAGCGTAACCACTACCAGCATCATTGAGCACACGAACCTGGGTTATATTGAGTGCTAAAAGATTTTTAAAAAATTATAATAAACATTATAATACTAAAATATAATATTAAAAAATTAGAAAATTAAATATTTAAATATTTAAATATGCAAAGGATATATGAATAACTGATAAGTAAATATTTGCATATGGGGATAGGATGGGTCAATAGGTTGTTCAATTGGGAGCACCGATGCTGAGGTTCGATTCCCCGCAGGAGTAAACCTGTACAAAAATCCGGGTGATGCTTGCAATTCATCTATATTTCTATCGCCAAAGGACTCTCTGGCATATTGCCCAATGTGACAATGCGACAAGTGAAGCGAACTTAACAATGGTGAGAAACTCTTTAAAAAAAAATATTTGCATATTACCAATCAGAAAATTTTACTCTGAGAATAAAGTGAAATGAGACATAGCACAAAATAAAGCCAAACCAAACACATAAGTTTAATACTTACTGTTAATTGTTAATATTTTTATACTAATGCATTAAAGTAAAAATTGATGATAAAGAACAATACCAGCATTAGCTTGCGCGAGTTTATCCATTGCATCAGCAGAAAAATGGCTGATTGTATCAGCAATGGCCAATAAATGCATCTGATCAACAGTCGATAACCCTACACTGATAAATAAATTAGCTAGCACAAGGTATTATAATTTAAAGAATGATAATTATCAACAATATTTTTAACAATTAAAAACTTCGAATTTGAAAAACGTATAATGATCCAATTTTTTTAAAAAATTAAAACCTGCAACTTATACCTGGCAAATGGATATGAGTAAGCAACTCAGTCAATATGCGATTGTGTTTCGCCGTAAATACCGTTGATATTTGGTCTTTCAATATGCCGGTATTAGCCAAGGCAACATCGCTTGTCATTGATGGTTGTCGAGAGTGCCGAGTATCACTGTCGGTATTATCCATATTAAGCATTTCATCCAAATCGTCATTATTCTGCCCAGTTTCAAACAATGAATTATATTGATCCTAAAGGTAACCAATCGTATTCCAAGTTTTACCATAAATTAACTACTGTATGACCAACACTAATTTACCTCATTTCCGCATGTGATTGTTCTTCCCTCTGCAACAGAAAAATCGTCAACAGACATCAAAAGGTAAAGAGGCAAAGGTGCAATGCTATCTAATTCCGCATATTCTGAATTTATATCGTCGAAAGTGTCAGAAAGACCTCTTCTTGATTCTTCTTGATTCATATTCTGCTGAGCGATCATCGTATCAACTGTTTCGGACATCGAAATTCGGCGAACTGATGACGAAGACGATAATGGATTCGGTACTGATGACGCGATAGAGTGCTGATCAAAAAAAATGATGCATTTAATGATGCATTCAAATGAAAATATATCTAAACGATTGAAAATAAAAAAAAAAAGGAATTAACTCTTCAAATTACCACACTTCTCATATAAAAATTAACAAGTTGATGCAATAAGTTTTAAATGAAGAAAGTATATTTACCTTCAAACATTTAAGAACATGCAAGAGGATCGCTTTAACTTCACGAATTCGACCAGAATTCAATAGTTCAATTAGTTGTTTGGGATGGTACTGCGGAAGAATAGGATTTGCTAGACGTGCAGCTTCAAAAAGACCCTCATCACTGATTGCCTCAAGAACATTTTCGTCTTTTGAAAGAAATTCTTGAAAATCATGTGGAGCCGTGAAAATCCTGTAAATTGTATATAAGTATTAAGATAATGAACACAAATTTTTCATTAATATAGTATAACGAACGCAATAAATTTTTTCAACATTGCGTCATTGGCTCAATGTAATATAATGTCAATGTAACATAACTGCGACAAGCGATTAGAGTGAGTATAACTAGCAATGGTAAGTACTCTTTAAAAAAATTTCCATCAATAAAAATATTTCGAGGATGGAGTAATCTTCGAAATCCCGAATTTATGTTTGGAATTAAAAGTCTGATCTGTAAAACAAGGGACCTCATCATTTATTTAAAAAATTTTATTTTAGCAAATTTCTGCAGCAATATGCCAAAAAATTCAATGATTTAAAAGAAATAAGAAATAAGAAAAAAATAACAAAAAGGACAAATGTTTAAAGGGATTTAATATATTTAAAGATAACTCCACCTCTGCATCATTTCAAACGTCATCTTATGTTTATTTTGATAAAATGAATCGGACTTATGTTTCCTCGATAATTGCATCAGAACTGTATGTGAAGGACTTATACTTAAAGTTGGTCTTAACGCACTTGCTTTCCTAAAAAAATAGATAAAAAATTATACATCTTCGATAAAACTGAAAAGAATTTCTGATAGAAATAAAATAAACCTTTTACAAAAATGATCTCATATGGATTTTTTTCAACCATTCAAGAATTTAATATTGCAAGTAGTTTATTTGAATAAATTTTAAAATTGTGTAAGCGATTGTTATTCTGCCTTAGCTAGGTAAGATATAAATTAAGGTAGTTGTATTGGTTCTTTGCTTTTTTTTTGTATTTTTATGCCTCACAAAATTCTAATTACATATTTTTTAAATTGCATTTAAGCTAATGACTGTAAGTTTATTTTATACATGGTAGATAAGAAGACTTAATCAAGTCTTCAGAATGATTTAAATTGTAACATGGCTAATATATATATATATATATATAGAAATAATACATTTATATATTCCTATAAAAAAAAAATCCTTTCCTCGTACCTGCTCTTATCCTGCTATGATCAATGCCTCGGTTGGTCATCCTCAATCTTAAATGCCAGAAGTTTAGGAATTTGAAGGTGATACTTAGAATCTCAGTTCCTAGCAGTGTGCTCTTTTGGACAGAAACAGAATCTGTTGGAGTTATTTTTCTAGTTCAGAAGTTACAGTCCTTAGTGCTCCCTATCACCACAGGGGATACTTTGGCCTTCACTTTCCATATCTTCTCTAGTTCTTCTTTCAGCCCCTGGTATCTCCCTGGCTTCTCATATTTTATTTTCCTAATGTTCCTATCGTTCAGGAAGTCCAATAGGACCTTGGCCTTATTCACTATTTTCTGGAGATTCTACTATCTGGCCTTGGGAGCATCCAAGCACATATTGAGCATATTTTTTTTAAAGAGTAGTCACTGAGCAGATATTCCAGTAGGCAATTCTAGCTAACTAATTAACTAGCTAATGCTGTTCCTGCCTGCATCCTGTCGTGATATGTTTGGCTTTCTGAGGCTTCTTTGCATACTCTGCATCTTGAGTCTGAAGAATTTGATGTGGTAGATCCCTGCTTCGGTAGATATCTAATATCTATTCTTACATTGTGAGATCAACGCCATAGATCTATTTCTTATCTAGTCCAGCTTTTTCAAATCACTGGTAGAATTTCTTAATTTCAGCCACCTTAAGTATCTGTCTCCTTTGCTTGGTCTGTCTCCAGTGTTTGTTGACGATCAGATATTCTATCAGCGTGTTAATATATTTCTCATATATTCCTTCGATTATCATTCAAAAATGTGGCTTTGATACTCATCAAACTTCACCCGCCTTTTTCCAGCTGGTCTTTGAAAATTGGACTTGGAACTTTCCATGCATTGTGAGGAGTTTCCGAGGTCTTCATATCAGCAGTCTTCATGTCTTTCTTTGTTTATCTCCTTTTGCTAGGTATATATCTGATGACTGGTACACATTTATGGCAAGGATAGAGCTGGCTTTTCTTGTCTTATTTTTTGGTGGTAACTGGATGAGGTTGCTGTGGTTCCTGAATGATTGTGGGATATCATTCAGCTGGCTATATGCCACGCTAGTAATGGCTGATGACAATTCCACTCTTGTATACAGTTCTTGTGACCATATGGCTGAAGGGGTTTAGAACAATAGAGAGGACCTGTGCAAGCCTCTTTGAATTGACTTCAAGTGTCATTTTCCATAGTATATTTAGTTTTCAGTGAAAGTCATTAGAATACTATTGACTTTTTATAGAGCCAGGAACTCACAGATTTATTTGTGGAGCATTGAGTCATAGGCTTTCCTATAGCTTACTCAGGCTGTGATTAATATATCATTGAGTTTCGCATTGATATCCTTGTCGTCTTGCAATATAACGGCTTTATCTGTTGTTTGTTCCGCTTTTAACCAATTATTTAACGAAAAAGTATGGATTATGTCCAGACTAGATGTCCAGTTTTTTAATTTTTTAACCTGCTGTTGGATGTCTGCAAATGTGATAGTAACTGGTTCTTGGTATGGGAAATTGCTGTGGTCTGTCACGTCCTACAGCCAATTTTTATCGACGTCATGAATTGATATTTCCTTTTTCTCCCATATATTTCTCCAGTATAGTTCAGTTTTTGCTTTTGGCGATTCTTCTATTACCATATTATTGAGCACAGTATATATTTTTTTGGCCTCTGCTTCTCTCCTTGGCGTGGTGGCCAGTGCTGTAAGCCTCTGATAACATATGATAAAATTTTCTGAACAAGAATCTTGATAATAATTGCAATGCTGTTATCTCAATCAAAAAGTTAATATAAAGAAATTTATGGCTAGAGACTTACTTATGGGTTTTTAAGATGAGAACTTCATATTCTTGTTCCTAATCATTGTTAACACACTGTGAATGGCAGCGATTCTTATCATTTCTTTGAAAGCATTAAATGCAAAAATTATCTTCAATAATGGATTTATTTTTATTTTTTTTATGGAATTACTATTTTTATTAATAATGAAATTATTAATTACGTTAAATGTAGGTTGCGTTGTTATTTCGTCTGAATTTATCTCAATTTAATTTGTGGGAAGCCTTTGTATTTTTCTAATAAATGGATTTTACCCCTAATCTCAACATCCTTTTGTAATTCTGCCAGCTGATTAACTGCTCCACAGTACATTATGATCTTATTCGTTAGCCTCATTTTGCGAACTGCGAATCATTCTATATTCAGACTAATATAAAGGTATGAATTGCTGTGAAAGCCATTCGCATTTCCAAGTTTTAATCTAGTGATACCTCAGTAAGCCTTGACAAAGAAATAGTCGTCTCGAAGTCTGCTCATGAATTTTTGCTTTATGCCAATTGCTCGACCTTGTAATGAGGATATCGGAAGGGAATTTCTAACTTTCTATTTTCCCACTTTGTTAAGTGCATATTCCTTTGAAAGAGCAAATGTTTGAAGCAAGCGTTGGGGGACTACCTATTTCTTCTCAGTTACTTCTCAGTTCTCAGTTAATGTAGATGCAGATCGTTTATCCATCCTTCACAAGTTTCATATATTCCCTTTCATTCACCATCTTCATGGATCTGACTATGTTATGGTTCGAATCAAAATCCCCATAAAATTAATAACTCGCAAGAAACAATATCTCCAGAGATTTTCCAACTAATTTAAAAGATTCGAGGACTTGTCTTTCATTATTGAAGCACCTCAGTAAAATAAACATCTATGACATCTCTAGAATGAATCATATGAATACTGATCCTAACTAAAGGAAATTTCGAAAAGGAAATTTAGCCATACGCTAGGAAATGCTAGAAATGTTGGGAATTGGAAGCAACTGTCCAACTGTCCGAAAAAATCTACCGGATACCGGATATTAGAAGAATTACAACGACAGTATCTAGATGGAACAGAAATTTCTGAGACTAAACCATGAGCCATCTGTTATCCTGGACTATTTCTCTCGTCGAACAATATGTTAGCGGATTGCCAAAAAACTCTCAGAATAGGAAATGATCTCCGTTATCCAGAAGTTCAAAGACAACTTCATGAGATAGTCTTTGGGCTGAATTCTTTCTTCAAATATTGTCCGCCGTCCATCCGTCATAACTTCCTTCACATACCTTCAAATACCAGATGACTGGAGTAAAGCAGTTCTACTCTCAATTCTTAAGAAAGATGACAGGATATATGGTGACAATTATCGAGAAAACAGCCTATTAGAAGCCTCCAATGAGATTTTTATAATCCAAGATTAAACTCAATTACCCCTTACTTAGTAAAGTTATGGCAATACACGAGGAAGCAACCTAATCTGAGAGTTTTTTGGCAACCTAATCAAACTGGACTTAGACCAGAATGAGGCTTCGCTGCCCAGATATTAACGTTATGAAGAATGTTGGAATATTGTTTCAAATAACTGCAACGCAATGTTACGTGTTTTATCGACTTTGCATTTTATCATCGTAGGTCTGCATAAATTTTTGTATATGGAGAAATGATGGATTCCTTCCTTTCTAACTGGTGTTCATCAAGGCTGCATTCTTTTCCCTACAATATTCGACTCGACAATGGACACTGCTTGTCGGCGTCTAAAGGGGTGTCCAAATTAGTCCAGAGCAGATATCATATCATAGATCTTGAATATCGTTGATAATGTGGTCCTTTTTGCTGACAGTCTTAACGAAATGCAAATAATGTTAAATAATGTTTTAAAAATTGCAGCGAGAATTGGATTTATGATCAATGTAAATATAATGAAAATCTTTTCGTCCTGTATATAAAAAGCTGATAAAATATCTTTTCATCGATTCATTGCTATTGAGGAAATGCCCGATATATCTTGGATATATATATCTTGGATCCACTCTAATCTCAAATGGCCAGGAAAAGAATAAAAATATAACCCGGATAATGGTAGCTAGAAATATTTTTTTCCAGTTGATGATTCTTTTCCTTTATGGAACTGTCGCCAAATCACCATAAAGACGAAAGTTCGCGTCTATATAACCGCAATTTGCTAGATCTTGAAATATGGCTGCGAGACATGACCAATGAAAGTGGAGGATATTAAGAAATTATATCTGCCTTGGACCACTCAAATTTAAGATACATTTTACGGGTCCATTGAGCTGTTAAAATCTCACATGATTGCATCCACCGTTCAAATACCACTTTTATTAATAGTACCATCAAAGAGTGTCGCCTTCATTGGTTATGGCACATTCTTCGTCGCCCACCACAAGAGTTGACACACATTTCGTTATTTGTTAAATCCTATGATGGGTGGCGTCAAAAGAAAGACGAGCCAATCAAAATCTGGACTGATACAGTAAGGAAAGATTATGAATGTAAAAGTGGACCAGCAATATATGGATTTAGATGATGGAAAAAGGAATGACTTCTATTACTGTCAATGATGGCATGACCGCGCCGCTTGAAAGCGTCTTACCCTTGTAGCCATTGGAGCCAGCCTAACCAGCAGTGCTCAAATGATTCCAGATTATCTCATTCCTTGTATCAGGACTTTGTTATCAACATGTAAATAAAAATTGTTTCATTTGTTTTGCTTCGTACAAGCAGATGGCATACCTGCCTGATTATTCTTCAAACTTATATATATATATATATTTCAAGCCGCTCGATCTAATGCCATTATGATAATAATAGAAGCTACTCCTTTTACCATCGGGATAGAATGGTTGTTGTTCAATTGGAAGCGCCGATGCTGAGGTTCGATTCCCCGCAGGAATAAACTTGCACAAAAATCCGGGTCACTCACCTGTATTTCTATTGCCAAGGGATACTTTAGTACACTGACCAATGCGACAAACCAGTGGAACGAATTTAACCAGTAATGGTGAGGACCCTTATAAAAATATATATATATGTATATATACATATACCTATACCTGGACGTTAACGTCTCCCTTTGAGAATTCATTTGCATTTTCGTTGTGGGTAAATTCCATTGATTATAGCAGCGTATTTCACTCTGCATTCCAACAACAAGCAGCCCATCTCTGACCCATTTTAAAGACGTCGGAAGTGGTGGAAGCCCATCTGCAGATTGCAATTCCAAAAATCTAATACATAACCAATGGGTCTAAAATCAAAATAATATGAAGCAAATAAGTCATTGTTTATATGATTTATATTTCAAAATATTTCACGAATACTTATACAAATATATCCTATCTTAATTGTTAACTAATTCTGAGAAAACATACCAAATGTGACGATAGATCTTGACGATTTGCTAAAGATGATATTTTTCTAAGAGTTGGTCGTCTACGAGTTTCATGTTCTTTCATCATTAAGATATTTGTTTGCGCAGCTCCTTGTGATACTTGAGCATAGAAATATATAGAAGAACCAACTGCCACTGTGAGTATATGAGAGCCATCTTCAGTAGATACCCAATCCAATCGGATAAGACTGCTAATAGACACTAGGAAAGAAAAAATGAAAAGGAATTAAGGTAAATAAAGAAAATTTTCATTTTCACAATTAAATAATAATAATTTTATTTCCTAAAGTCTAATTATTATCACATATCGTATTTAATATTTAATAAATTGAATTTATTCAAAAAACCAACTGTTATCAGAAAATTCCTTCGCACGAAGTGCATTCTCACTTAGGACTCGCTTCATTGTCGATGTTGGATGAGCTGAAAGAATAAGCTAAAAAGCTTATTAGAAGGAAAAAAATACTGTATGGAACAATAAAGATCCAATCTACAGTGTTAACCAATAAAAAAATTCGAGCAACCTAACCAATGATTGCATACCAATGGTAGATTTAGATGATATTCGCCGCAAAAGTTTATGGTTATAAGATGGTGTCATGTTAATAAATCGGGAAACATCATTTTCTTGCGTTTCTGATATTTCATGCGTTATTTCACCATGTAATACTGGACTTCTCCTAAAATCAAAACCACTTCACAAAAATTATGATATTTATGAAAATTATGATAATTATGTACAAGTTTCAAGATCCCTAAATTAAATTAAATTGCTTATCGATTAAAAAAATTGATGAAACTCGCTAAATTTGAAATGTGAAATATATATTATATACTTCATGTTTTCAGCAGAATGATCAATTCGAAGATTGCCTTCTAACAACCATTCAACTCCACCAGATGATTCACATTCAAAAATAGCGACTTTCACAGACTTTGCATTAAAAGTACCAGTGTGAACAGTACCAGCTGGCAAATATGCGCAAGCAAAGCGTCCACTATGTGCGGCGGACACACTGAAGATTTCACCTGAAAAGTTCTGACTATATGTATATATATATATTGGCTTGATTTATTAGTCATTCAAAGAATATAATGAGCGACTTTTACTTCCAGAATTCTGAAAAACTAAAGAAAAGCGCTAATAAAAATTGAATAATAAAAATAAATTTGAAATTCACCATCCATTTCCAGGTCAGATTCTATTGTCCCACTAACCATTGCCCAATTTGACCATTCAAATAATAATTTTGAATTATCTGTTTTTATATCACAACTCCAGAATCTTATCCTTTCATCAGAACATGCAGTTAAAAGAACATAAGGTGCTTGACATGTTGGATACATGCTCGATGAACTTAAATGACCTGCTGCTGGTACAGCTGACACAACCTATTAACAAAATAAATCAAAATTAAATGCAACATACATATGATAAAACCAGAGAACTTTCGATTTTTCCAAAGAAATATATACAATATGATTTGAATTTTGAAATGAAATGATTAAGTAGCTTTTTATAATCTTTATAATCTTAATATAATCTTTAATATAATCTTAACTCTGGATCTTAAATTTATTCTACGTAATTGAATCTCAAAAATACCTTAACACCATTTGGAAGAGGTAAACTTTGATCATAAACTTTTTCCGTTTTTACACTTAGTTGTACTCCTGATAAAGTAACATGAGCTCCATCTAAAATTAATAAAATATTATGAAATAAAGCCAGTTATCGAAAAACACAAAAATAATATTATTAAAACTGACTTAAAATATGCAAAAATAAAATTTAAAAATTTCAAAAAATTTTTTTTCACTTATAAGTATCAAACCTCGATTCATCGAAGCTTTAGGAAGTTCGGATGATATAGCAAGAGACCACATACGAATACTGCAAAATTATGAGGCAATAAAAAATTTTGAATAGTTATTAATCAAATTTAAGAAAATCGAATCAAACATACAGGTAACAAAGAAAACTTCGAAACTTTGAAACTATAAAACTTCCAAGCAATAAAATATATGCTGAATAAAATGTATGATCAAAAAATTACCTATCCATATCATTGATTTTTTCAATAATTACAATGTAATAATGTTCCAAAAATGCTGAAGTTCGATTTCGATCCATCATTTTTTTAGTTCTGAATGGTACATCTAGACCAAATGATGTTGTCATTAACCGCTCATTATAAACATGCGCGAAGATTACATTAGCAGCATCCTAAAAATTTCTCAAACATAACTAAGATCAGAATTTATTAAATATTATCAAAAAGTCGTTTTAATGAATATATATATTCTCAATAAATTAATAAACTTTAGGAATATTTATAATCTTAGTGGAATTAAACATACATGATTCGAGTCGTTAATTTCAGCTAATTTTATCACACAACCTGGTTTCGAGGAGGACTGTGTTGAAACCACATTGATATTTTCATTAGCATTTTCTTTTATAGGTAAATCCGATGAAACATCACTTGACACTAAAGAGCTGCTGAAAACACCATAGAATTAGATATCAGATATTAAATTAGATAGATAGAAGAAAGAAATTAAAAATATATAAAAATTAAATAGAAAAATAAAGAAAAAATCAAATAATCTTGCCTGCTATAGCAACGAGGAACATTATGTAATTTTGCAGCATATATTTGGGCCAATAATCCACCAGCATCAATAACAGCCTGATAAAGTATCAGACAGCCACCATCATTAGCAACAAAACATGTGCTTGGAGAATTACAAACTCCTCCAAGCGTCCAGCTAAAAATTACCGTTAAATAATGACTGTTTAATAAACCACTTCTACACAGAATGCCGATGGGATTTAATAAATACTTTTTATAATCATTTATTATGATACAATAATGTATATTAAACCTAAGTATATTAAGTATATTAATGTATATTAAACCTCAATTTTAACTTATTTAATAATCAGGAAAATCTGGAAATTATGACCATTTTAAAATCAGCTTTTTAAGATTAATATGATAACAAAATAACCTTGGTACAATTGCAGGAACCCACGCGACTGATGTAAAAGACGACTGGAAACTAGTAATTCGTGCAAGCTCTCGAAGTCCACCACTTTTGCATAGAGGTCCGACGGGGTTTATTCGCCAAAAAATTAATTCAGATCTTTCATCACCGCTACTGCTCCTTTCTGAACCATTAAAATGACTTGTTGTCAACATCAATGGTAAAATTGGGTGCGCGATAATCTAAGATTGATACTATTAGAATTCGAATATACCGATTAAAAAACAGACTTTTCTTTTTTCGAGCATTACCTGCGATATCTGAAAACGATGTCCACACATTCTAGAAGCATGAGAAATATTTAAAATTGAACTGAAACTTGAATTATCATCCATAGATAGATGCCAAAGATTAAGAGAACCATTTTCATGACTTGTCAGTAGAAACAACAAATTAGATGACCGTCGTTCAAGAATTCTTATAGCATCTACAACATTCCATTCATCATACCATTCATCTTTTTATTTTCTTACTTCTTTTTGAAATTTTTTGAAAATCAAGGCCGAAACTGGTTAAATATATTAATTAAAAGGTTCAATATTCAAAATACGTTGAAGGACTCAAAGAATGATAAAATATAGAATGAAAAATTGTAAAATGCATATAACCATTAGCAGACAAATGCCTCTGAATGACACTGATATAAACTGGATCGTGAGGACTGAACGAGCTCAAATAAGGATTTAAAGATTGTGCATCTGAAACAGGGAAGGCATTCGGAAATCGAGAAGTAAAGCTTACCACAGGCTGCAGATAAAGATCATCTAAAAATTCCACTGTCCTGAAAAAAATGGATGAATGAATGTTGAAAAAACTACTATTTAGAGAAGTAAAAAAATAGGTCCAAAATTCCAACAAAATAGAAAATAGTACTGATTTGAATTTGTTGCTATATTTCAGGGGAGATTTGACGTTGACTACTTTACTTTAATCTTGAAATAAGATGAAAGCCTTGTTTTTAAAAACGAGTATAATTTAATACAGGCTAAATATTCAAGATTTAATCAGAGAATCATTGTGATTTTTTTAGCAATAACGGAAAAAAACAAACCAAGTAAGTAAACTGCCATCAACGGGATGAATTGCAAAAAGTACGTCATTTGATTTAATCCAGTTTTTATTAAGGATTTCTAATTTTGTATCAACTGAATTTTTAGACATTGCTTCTTCCTTTAAAATTAAAATTAATTTAAAAAAAAATTTGTTCCATCGATGGAATTAGCAAACAATCTGAAAAAATAATTTTCAAAAGATAACTGAAATTTTCATTAATTGAAAAATAATTTTCTGACGACGAAAAAATTGAAAGGAAAATTAAAAACCGAAAAATTTGATGACAGTGAACTACGCCTCTCAGATTTGCTATCTTGTTCAGTCAGCACATTTGATGTTACGGCCATATTTGAAGTTTCCTCCAACAAAACAGAAGCTGCATAAGATACTTTTTGTCGGCCATATTCTTCATCAATGTGATCACCTATAATTTTTTTTCAAATGGATTATAATCTTCATCATCACCATTTCATCATTAGCAAAATTCATTTTTTGGGAGGAAGGATAAATTTCAATGAAATTTTAATTATATAAGTTATCTAATTATCTGATGCAAACAATAATAAATAATAAAAATACTTATGAGGAAATTGGAGCATTTCAACAATTTATAACAAGAAACTAATCATACGGTCTAAAAGTATTCTAAAAAGTAATCCTAAAAACATTTTCGTTTGAAAAAAATAACCATTATCGCAAGGAGAATAATAAAACGATTGCTGTTCATAAAGCAACAGTTCAGTTAATAATTTTTCCACTCCTTTATTGAAAACTAAATCTTTATTATTAAGCCAATGAACTGTAAATGTTTTGCATCCATTAACAACTTGTTCCATAGATGGGACTAGCAAACAATCTGAAAAAAATAAATTTTCAAAAGACAACTGAATATTTATGAGAAAAACATTAATCTTTTTATGTTTTTATATTTTGCATTAATCAGATAAAATATACCATTATGAGCATTAATTGTAGCGCATAAATGAAAATTAACACCAAATTTATTGCACAATCCATTAAAAACATCATTAATTGAAATTCTTTGATGAGATTCCGTATGAGGCATTGCATCGGTCATATCGTTTTCCTTTTTCTTTTTATCTTTACTTAAAAATAAAGAATAATCCATATGATTAAAGCCTAAATAATTAACTTTATGGGTTCGTGACGTAAGCCTGCCTAAAAATCCGGGTGATGCTGGCGACTTGTATTTCTACCGCCAAGGGACTTCCTGGCATATTGCCCAATGCGACAAGCCAGCGAAGCGAGTCTAACCAATAATGGTTAAAAAAAAAAGACTTTCTGATTAAGAAGGATGATTAATTCGCGACATTTATTTAATAAAAACTTACATAAGCCTTTTAAATCGGTTAAACATCCGATTTTGAGTATCACGTAACTTGCTTTTTTTAGACATTTTATGCTGACTGGCTTTCTGTCCCATTATAGCATCACTAATCTCATTAAGATGATGAAAAACAAGATCCACATTGGGACTTTCCTTCCATAAACGAACTGTATTATCTTCACACCATGTTAACAATGTATTACGGATGCTATTGCTGAAAATTTCGTATAAAATCTGCAGTTTACAGTTACAGTTTTTTAAAAGTGATTTTTCATTTTCTTGAAAAATTCCCGATTGTTCAAAATCATCATAGACTACAAAAATTTTATCTACTATCCCTTACGGTTTATACTCCTTTTTACTTCACTTATGACTTACGACTTACTGTGAAATGTATGCCGTAGTTTTTCGCCATTCCAAACCACTTACTGGCATAGGATGTTGTAAGTATATAAAATTCAGTTGTAATGCAGTGTTTTCCTTGTTCTTATTTTCTAAAAACTTCATTAATAAACACTTTGCATAATTTCATTAAATTAACAAATTAATAAAATTATACAATATTGCTAGAGAAAAAAGAGCATAATTTTGCAAAATTGATCTTCCATTTACAGAAAAAAAATAAAAATAAATACCTCCATTGAGATACCATATTTTCACAAGAGAATCATGTTCGCCACATGTTGCAAAAAATGTACCATCGGGACAATAGGACAAGTATTTCAAAGGAGAAGATAGTTTTTGCGACCATACACATTCCCAAGAAAAGTTTTCTTCATTAGATTGCTTATTAAATTCCTATGAAAAAGAAATTTATAAAAGGCAAAATATTACTTTGATAACAAAGCCACATTTTAAAGGGATTAATCAAGAAATTTATTTATTAAATTAACTCGAATAAAACATGTTTACCTCATCTAAAATGCTGAACTTTACAGGTGATTCCAGTCCTTTATGATTAAAAATTGCAATTAGAGTAGGATGATGATACAATAACAGTTCATCAGTGCAACATACAAGAAGACTTAACCCTTCTAAACTCCATGATAAGTGACTAATTGTTGTATGTTCAATTAAATTTTCAGTTTCAAACCAGCGATAAGTGAATTTCTAAAAAACAACTTAAATTAAACGAAATTTAAGATCTGGAATCGAAAAAATTATCAAATTAGTAAAATTTAACCGCTTCATTTTATAAATTTAACATTCAATAAAGTTACATATACAATTAAGTAAATTACATAAATAAAATAAATTCAGTGATTAGAAATATATTTAAATATACTTGTTTTGCTTTCTCAAACGGCTGATTAACTGGTTCGAAAATTCGTATTACCTTATCATAAACAGCAGCAATCTCAAATTATTGATTCATTAAAATAGAATAAACAAAAATGAAAATGATCAGATCCAACAAAAATATTGAAACAAAAAAACATACTTTCCCAGAAGTACCACAACAATTAATACATGAGACGAGATGTTCGGTACCATAACATGAACCTGGTATAACCTGAACACGCTCGAACAATGAGGAAAGTATGACAATATCCGTTCCTACAGCGCAAGCCTATAAAATTATTTGAAATCAAATGAAAGAAATACGGACCGGACAAAATCAAAATTATTCTAAAGATAATAACTAAAAAAAATTTTGCAAAAAAATGTTTTCCAAGCTAATAAGCAAGACGAATCTTTTTGAACGAATTAAAATTCTTTAGGGAAAATTTTTTTATATCTTTTTAATAAATAAAAGCTAGGAAAAAATTAACCGTAAATTTGACACCATCAACAGCACCAATACTAAAAACATTATCACCACGATTCAAAGCACCTGTTATTATTTGATGGACACTCATTTCTTCATCGATAAAAAATAACTTTTTTCTGAAAAAATTTTAAAAGCATAAATTAGGTGTTATGATTCTCGAGATATAAATTCATTTAATATTCTTTCTAAAAAATTAATAAAATGAAAAATGATTATAAAAAACCCCACCAATAAAAAAAATTTAAAAAAAGACGCGACGACGACGAAAATGTTTATGACATAAATTAATAACAGAATTTAGTAAATTTAAACAATTGTGCTAAATTTAATTATAAATATTCACACAGACAAGAAACCATTTAATAATTGACGGGTCAATATAAAAAACATTTCACCGTCAGAAGAAAAAACATCTAATTTCAATTTCAAATCAAATTTCGCCTAAGAAATTCGCATTTTTACATGAAAAATTTCCTTATCGAATAATTCGTTCGATACATAATGAAAGCAACCAAAAAAAAAATTGATTATGCCTGTACAAAATCGGCGAAATTGTATTTTTTTGTATTTATTTTGTTCGTGGAATTTTTCAAAATCACTTTTTATTGCATTATTCAAAAATGTACAAATATTAAAATTGGGATATCTAAATTATTTCACTTCGTATTTTTAATATTTAAGTCCAAGTAAAAAACATATGAATGTAAAACATATGAACTTTTCAACATTTCTTTAAAAACAGTCAAACAATTCCACCGCACCGTTCTTATCGAATAATTCGACTTGTTCGACAGTACAAAAAAACTCCACGAAATTCAATCAACTTGATTTTTGGAGAAGGCAAAAATTAAGAGAACACTTCTGAAGTGTTTGCACCGATCAAATTTTAATTTGCATACGAAAAATTTTCGAAAGAAAGAAAAATTATGCAAATTTTAAAAAACTAATAAACTTCCAAACGAGTTTTGGAAAAATGTAAAACAAAATAATTCGTTCAGAAAATTATCGAAGAAAAAGTTAAAATTAGTAAAGGAAAAAATAACTGAAAATTGAAAATAAAAAAGAAAAAACAGAAATTTTTTGGCAGTAAATAAGTGAAGTTCGCAAAACTTACAAAATGACAAATAATAACTTTCAGCGAATTCAAATTTAAGAATAAAGTCATTCGGAAAAAAATCCGATTTTAATTAAAAAACTTCCCGAAAGGTAAAAAAGCAGTAAAAGAAAAAGTAGGAAAATACTTGTGTGAAAATATTTTGGTTAAGGGAAAAAATGTTAAAAATTGTAGCGATAGGCTAAAAATGTGACCGATACGCTAATCGTGAGGAGACATTTGCTGAAAAAAATTGTGTCACATTTTTAGGTTAACTATAGGTGTGGAACCAGTTTTATTTTTTTATCTCACTTTACTTTTTGGCGATACGCAGCGCTCGGTGCTCGAATAGCAAAGGAAAAAAGTGCGTACACTCCGTCCCTTTTTATTCTTCCTTATCGTCTTTCCTTATTTTTCCGCCTTATAAATACTGAATGAAGCAGACAACTCGAAAGTACCAATCTTTGTTGCATCCGGAACTTTGTGATTATTCCACAACAGTGAACGAGTATAAAATTTTTGTTGTCTTTGAAATTCAAAAATCCATGCAGCTGTTCGTTATGTTGGTGTATGTATTTGCATTTGTGAGTGTCTGGAAGGGGAATCTGTGTCCTCCAAGATCTGAATGTTTTTTCTAAAACTCCTTCCCATTTCCGTCCAATATCATCCTTAAATTCCCCTAGTCTTTTTTTCCCGAAATTTCGACTTTCGCGTTATCTGATATCTGTTAAAAAGCTTAAATTCGTAATACACTACTAAATGCCATGGATCTCCAAGCGATCCGTGGGAACCAATAGAATTTCGAATTATTTTATTTGGATGATAACAAACTATTTATAATGATTATTTTATTGCATTCATTGTATTACATTCAAAATTCTTGGATAGAAAATTTTAATGAATTCCCTGGCAACAATCTTTCATTATATTAAAAGATTTGCAGCTCTTTCCTTTCCTCTATTTTATTTTTATTTGCGTCGAAAAATGCATATGGTACTATATGATCAACGAGTCTAACGGACTATTTATTACCTCTTTAATTAAATTCAATCTTATTTTAATCGATTCAACTGGTTGAATTCCGAGTTTTCGAAATTTTCAAAGTTTCACCAAGTTTTTTTACGTGAAAATGACGGTAATTTTTATTGATATCTTACAAGTTCAAGATGAAATCCATCCACGGCGATTAATGGATGGTTCAGCGAATTTGGGCTTTTAATGGATTTTTGGATTCTGTTGTCACCCCTTAGCAGCACCCATTCCACTGCATTCCCTTAACGCGCTTTCAAGCTTCGAAATTCACCTTTTAGACTCAAATTTACTAAGTCGCAAAGATAATAAATATAATGAATAAAGAATGACATAGCATTGTGCATTAAAATAAAGGAAATTAGCGGTGTTGCTAAAAGAATAAATGATATTTGACAAGTGCAAATAAAACATTTGAAACCACACCAAGCACATTTAACCATACTAAGGAAATGCAATGAGTTTTAAAGGAAGGCCAAGGAATAAATCAGACTTCAGATTTCTCTGTGTTATTGTGTGGTGCGAGAAAATATGTTGTGCGAGTATATACATGATTATAAATTATAAAAAAATGAAAAAAAGAATTTGGAAATAAATTAAGTCCTTGAATGAAATTTTTCTGCTTTTTCTAGTTACTCACTGCTTCGGTTCGTTCCACTCGATTAGAGTGAGACGTTTTCAAGCCTCCTTGATCTTTCCTATAAGTAATTGAAATGTCTTTTTTCCACCCTTTAAGCTGCTACGTCGCTGGGATGCGAATCCGTTCAAAATTTGACCTGCTATCGGAACAGATCTTGATTGGCACTCTTCACTTTTAAATTCAGGCCATGCTTTTTGGCCATATTCTTAATGGTATTCGAGGTACTCGATGTATGAAGATGTATGCAGTCATATGAGATTTTATCACCTCAACGAGCGTGTAAAATGCGCCTTAAACATAAGTGGTTAAGGTAGAATAACTTCTTAATATTTTCCATTCTCATTATTTTCCATTAATCATTCAAGATAATCGGCATTGCAGTTAAAAGACTTTCGTTTTTCGTTTCGCTGATGATTTTTTGGCTATTCCAGAAGGGTTTATCAGACGAAGGAAGGCACCTCTGGCTGCAGCCATCTGAACTGGAATTTCATCTTTCGTCTGGTCATTAAGAATAAGAATGGATACGAGGCAGTGAAATGATAGCGATCCGATCAGTGCATTTCCATTTTATTGTAAATCACATTTTTCAAAAATTTTAGCGAAATTTCGAATGGGATTTTCGCTCACAATTGTTTGTATTTCGTTAATTCAATGATTCGTCGAAAAATTTTTTTTATATAATTATTCTGAATGGCATAAAAAAGGCGTAAACAAATATTTTTTCTTCAACTGATATTTTCGAACTGTGAAATTATTGTTTAATTTCAAGTGGTACAAATTCGATTTATCAGAAGTGAAAATTATGCTTTGGGCAATGCGCTACTCGTTAAATCACTTTTCAACAGAAAATAATGGTAATATTATAATTTGTTGAAAGATATGATCTTAGACGGGCATTTTTGTTTTCTTATTTTAAATGAAAATCTATGGTAAATTTTAAAATATATAAATTTTTTTTCATTTTTCTTTTTCTTTTTATTCGATTTTTATGAAATCCGCAAGAGTATTATGCTGATTTATAAGTTTTTGAATACGGATTTCTTTTCAGCTGTCTTTGATCTAAAATATTCTAAGAATTTCGTAACTTAATTCGGTAAATGGGATGTATTCCAGTTTCTTCTCAATGTGGAACCATTCGAAATTCTCCTGTCAGCTTCTGGTTTATTCCTGAAATTAAGTATAATCGAGTTAGGAGTATTTCAGTTATTCCAGTGAAGGCTCGTTAAGATATTTTTTTTCGATCATTCCAAAAAAAATTCTTGTTTTTTCTAATTCTTACTATTGAACTGCCTTTAAAACATTTTCTTCATAATATTTCAAATGAATCTGATTATTTTTTTATGATTTAAGATTAAGAATTCAAAGGAATTTAAATATACTTTATTGAACTCAATATTGTTTTATTATATTTAAATATTTAATTAAATATTTAATTTATATACTTATTCTCTGATTAGAAATGGATGCAGATATGATCCTCTTATCAAGATTTGATTAAGCAGAGTTCTTAATACTTATCAGTTGTGCATCTAAATTTGGCTAAAGCTTTTGATACTGTTTTCCATAGCAAATTATTGATCACTCTTAATAGATATGACATTACATGGGCTTTTTATAACTGGGTATCATTTACATAAAAGATCGTCACCAAGCCGTACGCGTTAATAGCACTCTCTCTGACATCTGTTAAATCTGGTGTTCTCCAAGGTAGTTGTATTGCGCCATTGTTTTTTCTATTATGTATAAACGATATCACATTAGATGTGGTACTAAATTCTACCATTTATGCTGATGACTATAAATAGCCTATCTCCACTGCAGGAGGACCTCAACAGAATAGCCAACTGGCTAAATGGTAGGCAAATTACTCGTTCCTTTCAAAAGTAGCGTTCTTCATATAAATTCTAAAGGATTCGATTTTCCTAATCTTTTTATTATGATAATATAGTCAGTAGAGTCACACACATTTCCGATCTTGGATTAATTATGGATGAAAATCTCGATTTCGACCTTCATTGCAGAACCATGGTAAAGAAATCCTGAAAAACACTAAATTTTATTTTCCGTTCGTTTAAGAATGAAACTGAAGATTTTCTTATCAAAATATATAAAGCGTTCGTTCGGCCACTTCTTGACTACAATAATACTACATGTTACTCCAGTAATATCGTAAATCAAGTAAAACAATTGAAAGACTACAAAATATTTTATCCGGCGCCTCTCTCCTAATTGCAAGTTTAATTATAAAAGAAAATTTCTACAATATAACCTGGATTCCCTCTCAGTTCGTCGAATTAAACAAGATTTAATTTATACCTATAAGATTCTGTATGGTTATGCTAAAATAGATTGTTCAAAATATTACAATTTTAGGTTAAATTTAAATCCAACAAGAACTAATGGGCTAAAATTAGTAAAACTTATGTGTAAAACTAAATTAAGGACTCATGATTTCTTTATTTTCTTTATTCGTATTATTAATTACTGGAGTAAACTACTGAACGATATAGCTTGTGCGCCATCCCTAGCTATCTTTAAAAAAAAAAGTAGATAATATCATTTATGATATTATTTAAAAAATTCTCATCATGTAGAAAGTGTGAAATTGCGATTTTTTACCATCCGATTATAGTTATTTCGAATTGTACTATATTATTCTGTAATTTCCTCTTTATTTCATCTTTAAATTGTTTATTTTATTTTTGTCATTAATTTTTTATTATTTTTTAATATTTTGCGCCCTTCTTGGCTGGTTTTCAATAAATAAATGAATAAATAAACAAATAAATAAACAAATAAATCAGAGCTTAGACTGCTGTGTTCACTATTAGGAAATTCTAAAATTTAATGTCTGAAAGCATATAACCTTTTTTCTAGTAAGAATTCTGTTCATTCTATCATATTTCATACGAAATCCATGAAATTTGCTTTGAAGTCTGAAGTTTTATAAAGTTCATCTGGTAATTTCGATTGAAAATCATCATTTTTCAGAGAATAACAATTTTCGACAAGAAAAATTCCTATGACAATCACAATTGCTCATTAAAACTGATTTGATTTCTTTTCGATTTTATATTTATTATCCGTGGCTTAGTTTCCATATTTATCTCATGCTCGAAAACATTAGGATAAAAATTCCGGCCCTGGACAGTTGACAGTGACTTTCGGATTTTTTTTTATTCTAGATTAAATATTAATATTTATTAATATTTCTATTTTAAGCAAATATAAAAATTAAATAAGCAAATCAAATGTTATTCAAATGTTTTTTTCAATGTTTATTCATTTTTATGGTAACATTATTTATTTAAAATGCTCATCTTTATGCTGTTCAGCTGTTTTTATCAAGAAAATGCTCATATTATTTTGTTCTGCCTTATTTTCTGCACTCTCTTTTGAGATTCATAAATTGATTTAAAAATTCTGAATTTGTGGTTCTGTAATAATTTCAGAGTTTAACATATCCAAGCCAATATCCAAAAAACTAAAGTTTTTAAAATTGGCTATTATTCCGTTATATCATTAATAAATAATGAATTTTAAATAACTGATTTCTAAAATTCAATTTTTGATTTTTTAAGGATTTTTGTTATAGTGCAGATTCTTTCATTTTAATTTTTAACCATACATATCAAGATCGAAGTTCTTGTATATAAAATTTTAAAAGGCTAAAAGTAGGGTATATAAATTATATATACTTACCAAGAGCCCACTTTTTCAAGGTTAAAACACGATTTGCGATCGCAAATTTGATTCACTTTACTTTTGAATTAATAGATTAGTCTGTCCAAAAAAAACAATATTTTATTATTAAAAAATTTATAAAAGATTTGCCTCGATCATTAATACCTTGGTTATTCTATATTTATTATGTATAATGTGTATGCATCATATTTAGCTTCGGCTTATCAGTTATAATAAATATCGCTTTGTATAATCCCTTAACGATGTAGATTGTGATGATTCAATGAAAAAAATAAAAATTTATGCGAAATGTGATCGCAAGTACTATATGTATAAGCATATTTTCCATTGTATATCAGGTTTTAATCTGCATTCAGTTTCTGCAAAGAAATAAGAGTTGGCGATCAAGTGAACAACCAAATTTAATTTTAGGATGAATGATGGAAAGGGAGTGAATCCCTCGCCAGTTCATTAAAAAATAAAAAAGAAGGTAAAATTAACCTTTTTTTGATCTAAACCTTCAACGAATTTTTTTTGCTCTTCATTTTCACATATCCATAACAATATATTGTTAAAAGAATTCGGTGCATACAACCGATTGCTGATTCAATTACCATATAAACCAGTCTCACTAGAAAATGGAAACCGAAAATACAAATGTCCGTGAAAACGATCATTTCCATTTGAACTAGTTTCATATTTAATAGATCAGCATTATGATAATTAAATTTTCCATTTTCGTTTATTCCATATAAATTCTTTCATTGCAAAAAAATTTTTCTCGTTCAGATGAAAAGAATTTTGCATTCAAAATATTTTTGTCCTTTATGGATTTCCCAATCCCTTTACTTTTGCATTAATATATAGTATATAAGAAAGGTAAGAAAAGTAGGAAAAGAGGAAAAGTAGCTTTTGATATAGTAGTGCCTTATCAGCCCAATTTTCTTCTAACAACGTACACCATTACGGACCAAGACTAACTCTATTACTCTCAGTTAAAAAGAATGAAATTAGAATTGTTTTTTAAAATAGCCCGATGTGTTATATATAAATAGTATACTCAAGGAAATTTATCAACTGAAAATAAAATATTCTGCAAAATCAATTTTAAAAGAACTGAAAATAAAATATTAGAAATTAAAACCAATTTTGATAATCAAATATTTTAATGATAATATTTTATAAATGAAATAATAAGAAGGAAAAATAACGTACCAAAAACAATGGCAAAAGCTGTACGAAATATATAAGCACTAACTGATTGAATAATTATAAAAGTAATTAATAATTCTAGCGGTAAAACTAACGATATTATTATTAAAACAGAATAAAATACGTATAAATAAAACATTTTGAGCAATTTTAATGCCTATTAAATGTTGATATATCTAAAAATTTTCGATTTTAAATTAACCTTTTTTTAAATCCAAAATTAACCTTTTTTTAAATCCAAACTTTCAACTTTGTTCACTCTTCATTTTCATATATTCATAACAATACAATGTTAAAAGAATTCGATACAACAACGGATTTTAAACTTAATAATAAGTAATAATCTTGAAAATTTTTCCATATTAATTTGCTCCTGGCTGCAAGGCAAGACAAGCTGAGCGATCTAATGCCATCATCGACAGTAATAGAAACCACTCATTTTTCCACCGTCTAAGCCCATATATCGATGGTTGGTCCATTTAAATATTTCAGAATTTTTCCTGACTATATCAATTTATGTCTTGTCCATCAAGGGTAATTTTAGTGACGAAATATGTATCAACTCTTGTGGTGAACGTGCCCTAAACAGCGAAAGAAATGCTTTGTAATGGTGCTCTTAATGCATGAAAGTGGATGCAATCATTTGATTTTATCTGCTTGGTGGACCCGTAAAGTCTTAGACATCTTAGATATCTTAGACATGAATGATCAAAAGCAAATTTCTTAATACCATGTATTCTCGTTGGTCTTGTCTTGCAGCCATATTACATGATCTAGCAAATTGCAGCTATATAGATGCGGACTTCTGTTTTTATAGTGATTTCGCGACGGCTCCATAAAACTTTAGCTAGCCCCGTCAACCGAGGAGACCCACTTCTAGGTGCCATTATTCGGTAATTTTGTCTTTTGCACGGCCATTCAGTAGAGTGGATCCAAGGTATTTAAAATCAGGCATACCCTCAATCAACAATGTTTATAAAAAGACATTTTATCAGTTTCTTGTATATAAGACGACAAGATTTTCGTTTTATTTACATTTACCCTTAGTCCGATTACCACTTCAATTGTCGACGATGCATTTAGCATAGTCTGCATTTCTTCTCTCAGCATAACTCAGCAAAAAGGACTGCGTATTCGAGGTATGTGATACGATGCTATGGACTGAATTATAAACCTCTTGACGGTGTATTGCTAACAGGCGGTATAAATTATTCAATCTACCACATAGTTGAATGTTGCAGAGGAAAAAACGCAGTCTTGATGGTCATCAGTCCTTGTTTCGAAGGAGCTATATATGCACTCATACACTCACCGATAAAAGGCTTATATGAGTGGGATGATCTTCCCTGGAAAATCACATATCACATTCTATCACTCTCCAGAGCGCCGCTCTACCAATCCAATCGAAAGCAACTGCAATATCGAACACGTAACGGTGAGTTGTAGAAATTTCAAGCGATGTTCCAACATCTTTCTTAACGTGAATGTCAGCACAACTGCGACTTAGTCTAAATCCAGCTTGATTAGGTCGCATTCTGCTGGCCCGTATTGTCATAAGTCTATTGAGTAAAAGAGAAGCAAAAATTTTTGCTGGAACGTCTAGTTAGGCTAATTCCTCGATAACTGTCGCAGTATATCCAATCACCTTTCTTGAGAATTGGGAGTAGAATTATTTGCTCCAATCATCTGATAATATTTCTTTTTTCTATACCAGAAAATACATTTGTTGAAGGTGCGTTATGAAGAACGATGGATAACATTTGAAGAATTCAGCGAAGACCATCTTCTTCCAGCAGAGTCTTATTGGCCTTAAGATGATGCATGAAATCATTTCTTCTTCTGTTGGCGGTTCGCAATTGCAAATGCATGGTCCGATGAACAGTATTTATGCAAATCTTGACTCGGGACATAACATGGTCAGATCCATGAAGATTACCTGTTTCAGCACATAGCTGATAAGAACTTTTCCAATGACGGGTGACTAAAATATAATCAATCTGGTTGAAGTATTAGACATCCGAGGAGTTCCACGTCACATGTTTTTTTACAATACCTGAAGCAAGCATTAGTAATAAAAAGTTTGAGCTCTTCATCATAGCGAAAGCTTTCTCCACTGGCATACTGGACCCCATGCCATATTCACCAATTATCGAGTTTATCGTTGCAACACCGTGATCAACGCGCGCATTACGATCACTCCGAACTGTGATGTCATTTTTAGATAAAGATATTGTTAGTAGTTGAAGTCCACAGAATTTTTCTTTTTCGCGGTCATTTGCGCATAAAATTGGAGCATATACTGATAACTGAAATATTGTAGAATTGACCTTTAAAATGGGCATAGCCCATGCATTCGTTTATCGGCTTCCACTCAATCGGATTGTATCGAGTTTTTCAATCGCTACGCCACTTCGCTCCGAGTTGTCGAAAACACCACAATGATTACCTCTGCTCGGAGCCAGATTTAATAATTGCTCGAACTGAGAAAAACAAGCAGGCAATATCCACACAATATTTAAAAAAGGTGTGGATGTGGACAATCGTCGCTCGGCTTGGAACGTCTATAAGCATCTGATGTTCCACGCTGATACGACTAAATCTTCGCTGCGCGACGACTGTGCAGAGAGTCGTTTCCCTTGACAGGTTTCGAACTATTGTCCTGGCTTGCAAGTATATTTTATTTATGAACCTTGGAATCGTTTTATGCCAGGATTGTAAACTTTTTGCATGAACCACCAGGCTGAGAGTATTATGCGCGTCGGAGGACGCGGATGCCGTCCTCAAGAATCTCTGACCCTTTCACCATAGGGATGAAGACAGCTGGGTCTCCAGTACCTACCCGGATTTTTGATATGAGAGGTTTCCTCATGTCGAAACATATTATTTTACAATATTATTTTTGCATAAGGCTGCAGAAAAATAGAAAAAAAATCTTAGAAAATTAAAAAAAACTCGTTTGAGATGCCCAAATGAAGCAATAATCGATCACCAACCAATACATTTTTTAAAATCTTACTAGAACAGTTGGACGAACAGACTGCTCGCTAACTACGCATTAATTTATTCAGACTAGCCTAATTAGACAGATTAGCGTAGAGAAAATGAATGTTAATCATAATTCTAATTAAGCCAGCACAAAGAAGAAATGTTTTCTTGCATTTAAACATTTAATAAACCCATTATTAACCCATGTTTTTTCAATTGTTCATTAAAAAATAAAAACATAAAAATTTGAAGAAATATAGTTATGATCGGCTGAAATGATAAACTGATAAGCCATTCATTTCGTTTTTTTTTCTTTGTAAATTTCCTTTATTTATCCTCATTTTGGTCATCCACAAATAAATTTTTATTCATTTTATTGCGGCTATTTTCCAAAATTAATTATATATGGTTACTATAAACGAATTCGACGGACATCCAAAAACAAAAAAACAAAACAGGTATTTAATAGAAATAAGGAAATTCACCAGTCTCTGAGGAAAACGAAACAAAAAAGGAATAGAAGAAGAATAAATGCCCTTGAAACACGATAGAGTGAAAGTTAAGCAGATAAAATTAAAATGGTCTGATATGCTCCAAATGATGCTGAGTGTCCTATTCCTAAATGATTTTATGACCAAAAGATTCCACCGTAGTAACAACGGAGCCAGTCATATCAGAATTGCTGTTATCAGAAAAAACTTATTTCTAACCATGGAATGGTTCAGTTAACTATAAAAGGAATACAAAGTTATCCAAAAATCTAAAATATTGGATATTACATCCAATAACCATTGATAAAATTCTCAACAATCACGAAAGTCATAACAGATAAGATCTTTAAAATTAAACTAAGATCCCTACTAAAAAATTTATCGCAAATAAGATAACCGGTTGAGATAAACCGTCATCATATAGGTCAAATTGCGAAATTCACACTCGGTCAGAGATGAAATTTTCATATTCCCTCACTTTATATAAACCAAGCAAGATTTGTTTTTCCTTAACGTTTCAAAGAATTTCTCCCATCCAAGATCTATTTAGATGTTTTTCCGCGAACTAATTCATAATCCTTGAACAACTTCAGTTTATCTCCCAGTTCTATTATTTATCGGAATTTTAGGATTAAACCAATGCTTTTCAAATAAATAACAAAAATACCTTTAATGGAGTTGAAAATAAACTCGACTAATTATATTTAATCTCCCCTCTTAAAAAAAATTCTTAATTCTTTCTTAATCAGCGAGAAATGCCTACTTTCTGTAAATCTGTCTAAACCAGTTGAATTCATCTATATCACTTTTCCTGGCATAGTTTAAAATGAAATTCTTACATCCAATCCCATTTAGCAATGATCCTTTATACCAAACATCTATGGAAATTTCGCAATTCAAAAAAGACCTTAAGATCCGAAATTACGAAAGAAAAATTATTAGCTTAAACATTAGGAAAAGTACTGAAACTGGCATAACATGCACTTCTGATTGAGATAACTCGCTATTTCAAATATTTAGAAATCACCCTTTCATCCTTTTAATAAATCATCCGCCAATTGTTATGCCAGCTAAATTTCTTCAAAAAATTGCTAGCAAGCATCTGCGACATTTGAGTTAATAAATATGCCTCTCAATTATACAATAAAGCGTTCCAACAATTCAGATAATATTTGAAAAAATTTCACATTAGAAAGAGTGAAATTAAGCAAAACCCTTTTCTCAAATGTCGAAACAAAAAAACGAAATAATTCATTATCTAATTAAAATATTTTTCGCTAACTGCAACTATTAACCAAAATAAAATAAAAACCAAATAGCACAAAAGGGAAATAAACTGATTAAATGAATTACAATTAGAAAAGAAACACTAGGCATTTATAAATGCCTCAAGAAACAAAAAAAATGCGTGAACGTCTTGTGCATGAAAACAAACACAAGGCTATCGTACACGTGAAAGCAAAACGTAACACGTGGAGATGAGGTACGCGCTGAATGAAAGCATATTTGAATATATGAATTACTCTCGCGCGTAATTTCATAACTTAAAAAAGAACTATAATATTATTTGTGAATCGCGAAAACTTTGGCGCAAAAAAATTCAGAAATCTTAATTGCGATTCTTAACGATGATGACAACCACACTTCAATAATTAAAATGAGGCACTCAACTGGCCCATTTGGCCAATGAGTATACATAAATTTAATATTAAAAAACAAAAAAAGAAATATAACAAATTAAAGAAATGAATTCTATTTAAAAATATAAGCACCTAACACCACCCTAAATTGGAATCAAACAAATAATTGAACCAAAAAAATGGTGTCAACGCTCTCTTCGATAATTTCACTGAGAATTTTTCTAAAATGAAGAAGAAACAATACAAGAAAGGAAAGAAATGCGGAATAAATTATTTTAAAAAATGTGGATTTTCAACAGAAAACTGAATATCCAATCCCAACAACAACCCCAACAAACATTTCCAAATTAAGGCACCAGCTAAGTGAATTAAATAATAAAAAAGATGAAAATTATAAGTAAAAATCTCAAAATATTAAAAATGAATAATATTAATAGAACAGAAATTTAGATCATTCTGACCTTTGTTCTTCAAAATTCTTTCAAATCTATTTATTTGCAATAATGACAAATTAGCGATAGATATTTCAAAAGATTTCCTCCAGCAATTTATTTTACAATAAAAATTTAGCAAAGGCCAAGTATTACTGATATAGTACCATTTATTAAGTAAATGACAAATATTTATGACATCTACTACAATATATCTAATATATCTATTTAATGATGTGGTGCTAGGCATGAATAATGATTTATCCTGATATAGATGCATATATTGAAATAAGTAAGTAATGAAGTATATTGAAGTAGTTGCAATAAATATCCAACAAATTCATCATAGTTACCATCTGCTGAAACTAAATTATAAAATAATTCAAAAGCAGTAGATATTGCATAGAGTTTATTATTCTTGATTACTTCTATACTGATGATACTGCTTCAGTTTGTTTCGACTGTCGAGAAAATGAGCGAGGCGCGCCTGAAATATTCAGTAAAACTTAACGAACTTGAATTTTGAATAACTTTCCCATTTTTCCACTGAATTAATTAGTTGAGCCTTTTTATGTATTCCTCCTATTATCCTAAACCACTAAAGCGATTTGATGAAAAATTTCAAATAAAATAAACTTAAAATTTTTATATAATATATAAAATCGAACCTGCAGCAAGAATCGGATTCAAGGTCAATGCAAACGAAAGCTTTCGTTTAATTCGTCTTATGTGCAAAAAGCTGACAAAAAGCCTTTGTTTATAAATTCATTGCCGGTTGAGGAAGTACCCGATTTTAAATACCTTGGGTCCACTTTAATAGCGAATGGACAGGCAAAATCCGGGTCAGCTAGAAATGCGTTCTTCCGGTTGACGAAACCTTTATGGAGTCGCCATGAGATCACCATAAAAACAAAAGTCCACATCCCTATAGCCGTGATCCATTCGATCTTGCTATATGGTTCCGAGACATGGCCAATGAGAGTGGAGGATATTAAGAAGTTATCTGCCTTTGATGTTGTCTAAGGTATTATGCATACGTCGAGCGGATAAGATATCACAAGATCGCATCCTTCTTCGTTCAAATACCACTTGAATAAATAATGTTATCACAGCCTCCTTCGCTGGTTAGGGCACATTCTCTGCCGTCCACCACAGGAATTGACGCATATTTTATTTGCTAAACCGTGTGATAGTTGACGTCAAAAGCGAGGTGGGCCAATCAAGACCTGGATGGCTTCTATTATTGCCGACGATGACATCACTTGGAAGCGTCGTACCCTTGTAGCCATTGGAGCAAGCCTAACCAATAATGGTGAGAGCTGTTAGAAGAAGAAAATTGGTTAACGCTCACCATTTCCGGCTGGGCTTGCTCCTTTCACTGTTAGCAAGGTTTGTGGATTGCCCTTTTTTAATATTTTTTCGATGAGTTTATTGTTATATAAAAGCAGAATTATTACCTCTTAACATGGCACTACACTGTCCACTTCGCTATTTATCTCCATATATATAATAGCCATCTATCCACTTAATCATAAAGCATACAATAAAACAAACCTTTCCCCTCATTTTCAACTTGAAGTTTTAGCTGACGGCTGATCTCACGTAATCTAGCAGCACTTGGCCCACTTAGTGATGGTTCACGCCGATCAAGTCCGGCTTGAAATGCTTTTACAACGCGAATCTGTAATTTAGGAATTTGAATAATTATTATTAATGAAAATGCTAGATAAATAGCACTCAAAAAAAAACCCATGCATTAAATTCAAGAGCATATAAACTCACAATGATGCATTTTTCTTTTTCTTTACTATAGATCATTAGTTGAAATCAAAATATAGCCGAAACATTATGGGATCAAGGCTTAGCAGCGCGAAAAAAATAGTAAAATAAAGATAAAATAAAGAAATAAAAGATTATTCTGCCCGTTAAAAAATCTAAAAGATGGAACACTAATTAGTTGAATTGCGGAAAATAAATCATTATGATCTATAGCCAAAGATAATATGAGGAAACAAAAACATACAAAACATGCTGTAAATTATTTCGGACAAAAATCACGCTAATTTCAAAACTGATATGAAATTCGTGAAATCTGAGAAAAAACCAGATTCCAAAAAATGGTATATTGTTTTGGCCTTCGCTACCTTCTTTATTATTATCTTCATCCAGAAATGCATTAACACAACATAGTTTATTCATATATGTATATATTTATAGTTTGTTTATATTTATATGTTTATAATTAATTTTCCTAATTCTTTTTACTTTTTCTTCAACCCTTTTATTTTCCATTCACTATTAGTTTCACCTACTTCTTTTCTTTTAAAAAAAACATGGCAAACAACATGGAAATAGTTGATAAAACAAAGCAATAATTGGGACTGCAACTTATTTACTTGCTTCACACAAAAAGATATCAAAAAAATATGGATATGTACGAAACACAAATATCACCAACATTTTAAAAAATTTTAGAAAACATTTCTGGAGGGGATTAAAGCATATTTGAACATTATTGCTCAAAACAGTTTACAACGACAATTTTTTGCATACTTTCTTATTTTAGTTAGAAGGAAAAACCCATGCATAGCAAATAAATTTACCAGTAATAGCACTAAAAGATTTTTTCTGATTGCCGGTGCGAACTAGGAAATTTTAATCTACGATTAGCACGAAATATTGAAGCCTAAAATCCAGATCGCGCAATTTAGTATCCTAAATAACTCCATAATTAACCAAATTTAATTTAGCCTGAGAAATTTCAGACTTGATTAAATTTGAAAGTGGATCGAAAAATAAACTCGAACTCTAGCCTTCAACCTTTCGTACCACTTCTTCCAACTGCTTACCTATACAGCTTATAAAAAATCGAATGATTAAGAAGTTTAACTCGAAAAAAGAAGCGAGAATAATAAAAAATGCATTAGAACTAATAATGATTGCATTAGAACTAACTAATGAACTAATTATTAGAACTAATAATTGCAAGCTGCTATGATAAAATGCTTATTATTTATTAGCCCAATAGAGAGAAAAGAAAACTTGAATTACTGGGTTGCAAACCTAATAATTGTTACTCTGTTAGATTCCTTAAAATTTTTTTCATTCTCAGCAAACTTATCATCAAATAATAAACAATTTCATCAAAACCTAGTTTCATTACATCAAAATGATATAAAATACAGGTAATTTTTTTCAGCAATTCTTACTATGTAATAATAAAGGAAAAAACAAAAGCAAAAAAACCACACAATACGAGCATCCACCAACCATAGCTCAGCGCAAATTCACCACAGTTCGTGCAAATCCCCTACATGTGACCCACATTTTTATTAGAAGGAAGAAAAAAAACAAATCTGGCTTTTATCTGATAAAATATCCGAAAATATGAAATTTTTTTTCAGAGAAAAGGAATTTTTTCGAAGGAATTATAAAAAATGATCGATTTAAAAAATGGTCAAACAAATAATTAGTAAAATATTTATGAAATGGAAAATGCGCATGTGCATCTCGATAGCTTACAGCTTGGTCGGTTGGTGCCGAACTGAGCGGTACTGGAATAAGACGATCAGCCATATCGCCACCAATCACCTGCAATCATCAACTACCCGCACTTTATTTGTGTTGTTAATCGAAAATGTGAAAAAGAGATGATGATGATGATGGATTTGATGAACAACGAATAAATACATATTCCCAATCTTCCGACTATTCCGAATAAGATGAAAGCGACAAAAATTAAAATTACTGAATCTTAAAATTATTGAAAAATTATTGAAAAAAAATGAAAAAAGCTTCTCTTCATTTTTTAGCAACAAATTATTGATCCACGGCTTCAGTCCCATTTCACTTCCCATACGATAAGAATTCAGGAAAATCTCTGTAGCTGCATCGCGAAAAAAAAAAGAAACTCTACTACGAAAAGTGGTAAGTAGACCATTCCGACTATTTCAATTAAATTCTCAATGAAATATGGTACTTCAAGAAGAATCATCGGGACATTATATATTACGCTGTGACCTAAGAAAAATACTAAACTAATTCATAAAATGAAATTATATACGTTATCGCGTTTCTTGTATGGTAAAACAGATATTTTTTTGAAAATTGTTTTTTACCAAATAAATATATTTCGCTAAAAAAAATTTCTTTTTTTAAAGCCTTATTATTATAGATATTTTTTTGTTTTTTGCAGAATTTTTTTTTCGCACTATCGGAACAAATTAACAGCTAAATCTGCCCGCCAATTACAGCCATTTTTAAAAAATGATAAAAAATATATCGCCTATTATCTTTTATAAGTTCAACCAATAATTTAAATATTTTTTATCTTAGGTTATTTGTTTATTATGCATCATTATTCACAATATAGAGCTCTGACCTGGCTGAAACTGAAAAGATTCTACCATTCATTCAGCTTAAACAAACTATAAGTGTAAATGACCAACTACTAGTGGCGTTAAAACAAAATACATGAAATAATCTAATCTTTGCAAAATTAACCTTTTCTATCTGCAAAAAAACCTCGATTGAAAATATTAAATTTATTGGTGTCAAAAAAAACTATTTACACACACACTAAAATACCGTTGTGATGTTACCTTATCACCAACTTCTTCATCATTACGATTATCGTAGAAAGCAAATATATATATAAACAGGAAAAGAAGACGATGAAATATTGTATTATTTACTTATAAAAATATTAAACAAAATGAAGCAGAAACTAATGCGAAGAACGAATTATCTCTTTGAGAAAATTGTTTTTTACCAAATAAATATATTTCGCTAAAAAAAATTTCTTTTTTTAAAGCCTTATTATTATAGCAATAAATTTATTAATCAAAATGAAAAAGATGTTTTTTTCCAATTTTATATCGAATTAGCCGCTAAATCCCGAATTCCCGAAATTCTAAAACATTTGAAACTAGCAAAAGAAAAAAAAATCCGCTTCTAACACCAAAAAATTTTCTGACCAATTAGCACCAACATATTTCTCCATCGATTATATAAATAAGAATAAATAGTAATGCTTTATAATTACTATAAGTTTGGGAAATTAAATGTGGATTAAATTCGATAATATAAATGAAAAAAAATTAAAAATATCATTTTTCAATGCATTTATAAAAAAAACTATGAAAATTAAAAAAATTAAAAACTAAAACGTAAAAATCTAAAAAATACGATAAAAAATACCATCCTAATGTGATCACTTCTCATGATCTAAAAATGCCATTTCTTCTGTCGTATTCACGCTTATTACACCTCGATTTACATGACCACGAATCTTTAATATTTAAATTAAATATTAATGTAATAAACACAAGGAAACTGAACATTTGGCAAAAGAATTCATCTTTGATGAATTTTTAAAATTTCTCAGTTTGATCCTCAATAAAACAAAATAAATAAAAGACAATAACCAAAATTGCAGAGATAATTGGGAGAAGCCAAACCCGAACATGTGCAGATACATAAATAACATATATTATATATACAATCTGACATAACTACGACAACTCACAACAAACGACTAAATTCGCGACTATCGATGAGAAGCGTTCGCTTTAAATAATTCTCAAATTTTTTTTCAATCCTTAATTCACCACTATTAATCATCTGTTTCATTTCTAAATTAATCTTAATTTATATAATTTATATAAAAGAAATAATTTCGAAATAAAAGCAGTGAAATTATTGAGATTAACGAAAATTTAGGGGAAAAAATTGAGCGAAAGAAGATTGAAAAAATTTTTAAAATTTAGCATTCGAAAATATTGAAGCATAAAAAATTAATTCAATTAATTAATAAATAAAATTACTGAAGAAAAATTCAATTGAAGATCACCAACATCATTCAAACGAATAACTGGTATTTTGTAAAAAACATTTTAAAAATATTTAAAATAACTAAGAAAGCAAGAATTTCAGATTGAGAAACTAAGGGAAAAAGGAAGGAAAACCACTGACCACTGACAAAAAATAACAACTGTTTTCTTCAAATTCTGTTCTTATAATCCTTGCTTATTTTGTAAAATACAAAAAAAGTAATATAGTACATGTCAATACAATAAACCAAAAATATACAATAAACTGAGGCTTACAATTATTATTATTGAAATTATTTTAAATAAGCTATCTCTAAGTCAATAAAAAACAATCATGTTCATCGATCTTCATCGAAATTAAATAATCCTACTTTCATTATTCTTTCGTCATCACTTTATACTATATATTGCTAATTGTTCAATATATTTCTTTTTTAAGAGCCCTCACCATATGGTTAGACTCGCTCCGCTGGCTTCTCGCATTAGACAAATATGCCATGAAATCGTTGGCGTTACCATTTGCAGAAAATCTTCCCAAAACTAATATATTTTTAAAAAGTTTTTCCGGAAAAAATTTTTTTCATCAACTGAATTTTCCTCTAAATCTGCTTTTATGTGGAAAAAATCTATCCAGAAAAAAAGGAAAAAAAATAATTTAAACATGAGCAATAGAGACAGGCGTATCTATTGAAATACTTTTAGCAATTTTTTGTGAATAACGTGGATTATTTGCTGGCATCCACCGCTGTATAAGTGATACCCTTTCTTTTTCACATCTATTCACGTTATCAAAACCCCTCGATACTTTAATATCCATTTCATCTATATCATTGCCAGACACAATACCATGACCACTATCCAATTCTTCATTATTATTTATTATTATTGCTGTATTTTCATCTAATAAATCAATTCTTTCATTATTATTTATAAAATTTTTTGTCTTCGATCGTTTTTTATAAAAATACGGTTGTATTATACTATCTGAATGATTTTGTTGTCGATTGAATTGATGAGCTTGAGCTAAATTTATGGAACGATTATGTTGGTTTTGTCGATATTTCTGTTGCTGTTGTTGGTGATCAGACTGATTAACTGGTGACACACTACAGGATGTAGTTTTAGTATTATTTACTGATAAATATGACCAACCACCACCAGTAATAACACCCAGCATTGAACCATATGACTGAGTAGATGCAATTGATAGTCTTTCATCAAAATCATCGATAGGTGAACGAAAGGCTTTCACAACGCGAAGCTGTAGAAAATAAAAGTATTTTGCAAATCGAAGTAAAAAGAAATTTATGAAAATTTTTGTCTCTGCTGTGCTAAAAAAAAGAATCGGTAAACAATTTGAGACAGAATGAAAATAACGATAGCAGAAGAAAAAAAACAAATAATGAAAAATGTGAATAGAATAAATGAGTAAAGGAAGGAAGGGATGAATGAAGGAAAAATAAAAGAACGAAGGAAGGAAAAAAGAAATGAATATTGTGAAAAGGAGAAATTAGTTTATATTAAAAAAAATTGAAAAATTATTTCATAAAAAAAGCAGAAGAAATGAAATTGCAAACGTGCGGATAAATTAAACTATAACTACCAAAAAAAGCAAGGGAATTATTCACTAAGAAGTAAATCATTTGACTAATGTCAATACGCCTTCATTCCTGATTGAGGATAATTAACTGTTTCATAACAAATCAAGAAAAAAACACCTAAAAACTCAAACTTATCATTGCATCTTAAAAAGAAAGGCAATTTTCTGCCTCAAAACGTTAGAAAGAATAGCGAACGTATCCGAAAATTCCAAATATCGAGAATTTTTATAAGTGAAGTCGACTTCGCAACATTGAAATTTGCTCATTAGCGAATCAATATTAATTAGTGCCTTAATAAAACACTGACATGAAGAGCTTCTTTAAGAACTTCTAACTAATCAAACAGCTAATTATCACTTATTGTTTGGGTCGCCACCTTAAAAAATATAATCTTTTTCTATCGTGATTGGACAAAATGAAATGAAATTGTAACATTTAGTCGAAGACTTTCTTTATTCGAAACGTACGCAACGGGGTATCGAATATTATCATATCTTATTTTGGATAAACACGAAAAACATTTTAGATTAATGTGTAAATGAAAATATGTGTAAGCAAGAAGACTGAACTATAATTTCTAAGAAAAGAGAACAATGCGTCCTATGTTTAACTCCGCATACAACTGAAATAACTGCCTTACAGCCTAAAAGCAGTAACAAAATGATGAAACCACACTGACAGGTTAAGAAAATAAGACGATAAGACGAAAATAAGACAATTTCGTTCTTTCTTTCTTCTTTTTAAACATAATTAAAGTTGCTTAAAGTTGCATAAAGTTGCTTAAACTAAAGGAAAATATGGCAAACGAAAAAAAAAACAAATTTCAAAAATACGAAAAACATGCAAAACAAACAAATGAAAGGTCAGAGGGCAAAAAAATAAAGAAAAAAGCTATCGTTCACATCAGGATTTTCCATTTTTTGGAAAATTTTTAACCGAATTCCCAACAAAACAAATTTTAAAAAAAAAATGCACCAAAAGAATTTAGTGAAATATGCTAAAATATAATAAGCAATAACCAAAAATCATTGAAAACATAATTTCTCACTCCTTCCTCAATTCCACAGTTTTTTCTTTATTTTCCTAAATTTGCCAATAATTTCTATCCGAATCCTATCGTAATTCATCAATTTCTCATTAACCTCTTACAGAAACTATGAAGAAAACGTGATAAAAGCAAAAAAGTGCTGCTGAGAAGTTTTACGGCAAGGAAAACGAAAATGTGTCCTGTTTTTATTTAAATTTAAATGAAATATTAATAACATTGATATTCTACGACCACCAAATAATATTCCAAGCCAGTGAAAACAACTGATCCTACGTAACAATTGGTTATGAGGGTACCACTCAAAAAATATTCTTCCTCAAGAGAAGAAAAAAATGAAAAAAATATTTCGAATAATTAATTATTAAAATTTATATATCCAAACAATGAAAAAATTGAACCATTCGTTCACGTCAAACTTAAACCAAACTTAATATTAATACAAACATTTAAGAAAAAAAAATTATTAGGGTTCTTAAGATTCGAGTCCAAAGCGTCATTTTGTTTTGAAAAATAATAAAATAATTTTCAAAATAATTGTATGCGTTCAAAAGATGTGTAAAATACCTGCATATTTTACAGATATATTATATTACTTAATTGAGAAGGATGAAAAAAAGATTTTTTTTAAAAATTTTAATAAAAAATAAAATTTGAGTGGAAAAAATCAATCCTAAGTGAAGAATTCAATTCAAATGAAAAATGGATTCATTTGTTAGCGAATCCTGGTGCGATCGATAACTGTTTTTTTAAGTCGTGGTGGCAAGATTATGGCAAATGGACGGATTAATAAATATCATCAAAAATATTTTCACGATACTTGATGGTCAAATCAGTACGACATTAAATGCACTATTATTTAGGTGCAGCACATCGATGAATGAATGAATATCACGACATTTAGCAACGAAAAAAGGAACGGAAGAACGATAGTCAAAAAATTTGACGCATTAAAGATCCAATTTGTGCAGTCGGATTTTATAATATTCATATTTAAAATGTTCATATCGCAAAACCACAGTGGGTAATAGTAAACAAAATACTTTTTTTTTAAAGTCTTAGAATTAATGATCTAAAGATTTGTATGGAAAAAGATATGCTAAAACATTAATCATTTTAAAAAGTAAGCAAAGTATTTAATGAAATCCTAAATGAAACCTTCCTTCCTTTAATCAATTCATTAAATATTTCTAGTTTTTTATAAATAAACGTTACATTCCATAGTTTTAGCGAAGTTTTTTATCTGGAAAATTTTAAGAACATAAGGTTAAAACCAAAATAAAAAGTTATACCTGTGTCTGAAGCCGAGTTAGACCACGAATCCAAAGAATTTGCCCGGATCTCTTCTCATGTGTCTCTGGATCCTCATATTCACCACTTAGTATATTCTCTGTTGAAGTTACGTCGCCACCGCCAATCGCCATATTTTCTGGAAGACCCGAGGTCGGTATTGTTGTAACAATCTATAAAAATTTCTACACTTGTGATGAAATGAAAAATAAAACATAAAACAATAAAAAAAGAAATGGAACCTGTCCCCAAAGCAAAGTGCCAATGCCAAATGCAAGACACCATAACCATTGCTCAAGATTAAGTGCGGCTGTTGAAAACCAGCGGCCACCGAACTGGACAATGGCGATTTGTGCAACCATAGTAGATATCCAAATAATATAATAAATAGGATTGGAAAATAGACCCTAAAAATCCATTTAAAAAGCATGGGAAATAACAATAACCTTAAAGAAAAATTCAAATATGATGAATAAAATGAGAAAGAAAATTTACATGGAATATATTTCTTTCGCCATGTATTTTACGAGCATTAATTTCATTAAATAGCGTCATCATAACGAAAGTGTTGAAAACAATTGTGAAATGTTGGGATGGCGGAGCATGAAGCGGTGCCCAACGACCACTTTCAATATCAAAGAAACGTTCACCTATTAAAAATGAAAATCCAAAACTATGAAAAAAATATTCCCTTCCTCAAATTAAGGAATAATACTTTAAGGTAAATATTGCTTTTATATTTATAAATATTTTATAAATATTTTAGCTTTCAATTTACCATATTATAGAAAATGACGCGAGTCATAAACAATAAATATATTATCAAAAAAAGATAGGACCTTAAAAAACTTACCAATGAAGATTAGTAAAAATAAAATAATAAGTTGATATAAGGCATGTCCGAGGATATTTTTGCTCATTGTCCGTGATATAAGTGGACTTGTCCTTCCATAAGGTTTACGTTTTAACAAATCTTCTGTAGGCAATTCTGTGGCTAGTGCTAATGAAGCTAATGTATCCATAATAAGGTTAACCCAAAGCATTTGTACTGCCTGAAAATATAAAGGTGAAAACAATGACAGAAAACAATTACACTATAATTTAGCTCAGATTTAGCAAATAATAAAATTAAAAAGACCTTGAGAGGAGTATCTTGAATAGCGCATGCCCCAACAAAAGCAACAACAACAGCGACTACATTCACAGTCAGCTGAAACTGTAGAAATTTCGCGATTGAATCATAAACGTTTCGACCCCACATAACCGCCTAAAATTTATTTTCGCAATAAAAAAGAAAATCTTTCAAGTTCTTAGCGAAAAATTTCTGAGATCAATAAAGATCTATAAAATTTTTGCCAAAAAAGCCTACTTTCACAATTGACGTGAAATTGTCATCAGTCAGAATAATATCTGACGCTTCTTTTGCGACATCTGTGCCAGCAATACCCATAGCAAAACCAACATCAGCCTTTTTTAATGCAGGTCCATCATTTGTTCCATCTCCAGTTACAGCAACAACTTCTCTAAAAAATAAAGCAAATGAGCAGCATAAAAAGAAAATATTTCAGTAGTGGTGCTTTTGGAAAACTAAAAACACTTTGACACATTTTGACACTTTTTGTAATTGGTGTAAAAAACATACCTGCTATCCGTAACACGACTGTCAATGATACCTTTGACAAGCGTGTATTTATCAGTTGGTTGAGCTCTGGCAAGTACACGCAACTTTGGCCATATTGCATCAAGTTTTTCCTGAGATACTTCTCCTTTTTCATTGCGAATCCTCGCGTTGAAATCTTTGCCTTCTAATGCAATGAAATCTTCACCAGGACGAAGAATTCCGCAACTTGTAGCTATTGATCTTGCCGTATTTATATTATCACCCGTAACCATACGCACTGTGATACCAGCACGCTGACATTTCGCGATAGCTTCAGGCACTTCTGAAGTGTAAAAAGCTATAGTGCATATGGTTTTTCAAATGAACACTCATCCAACAAAAAACTAGAAAAATGTAAAGAAATGTATGTTAGATGAATAAATACAAAAAATTTAAATAAGAACAAATACAAAGTTTTTCTTGTATTTACCTGGTCTAACAGGATCTTGAATTCCAACGATTGCAACTGCAGTTAAATCATTCACGACTGCATCTTCATTATCCCAATCAATTTCGCCCACAAAATTGATCTAACACAAATGATAATGAATATCAGAAAAAAGTTGGCCAAAACCTCATTAAACTCATGATTAGAAAATGAAAAGCAAAAAACCTGGTTTTCTTTAATTTGTCCGCCATTAACATAATCTTTATAAGCAAGACAAATCGTTCGAAGCCCATCTGATGCCATTGGCTCGATAACATGACTAATAAGGCGATCATAATCTTTTTGGGAGAATTTTTTTAATATCCCATCACGCCCAAGGAACCATTTGCATCTAAGAAAGAAGGCTAAAACTTTGGGAGAAAAATAAAATGAAGCGATGTAATCCAATACTTTTAAACAAATAAGGATTTCTATACTTTTAAATGTGTACTTTTTAAGAATAATTTCCGAAGCACCCTTGCTGAAGACCCTATAGCCACCTTCATCAAGTTTAATTACAGTTGACATGGATTTACGCACAGAATTAAAAGTGTAAACCTGAAAAGAACAAATGCACAAACTTGTAAATATGTTATATGGTACTATATATATTATATAAATATAATACGTATATAATGCAATTATACAATATATGAATAATGCAATATGAAAATAATATGAAAATAAAATATGAAAAAAAATTTAAAATATAATATATGACGAAAATAATGAAATATGCAATATGTTTTTGAAATAAATAATGATAATGAAGTTCACCTTAAAAATTGATGATTCTGGATATTTATCTCGAATTGCTTGGTAGCTCTGATTAAGTGCGACAACAAAGCCAAGTAGACCACATTCCGTTTTATTACCAAGTTGAATTGATTGTTCGCCTGCTTTTTTTGGAGGAAGTACCTTAATGTAAAATTTATATCTAATGCAATAAAAAATGGGAGATTTTTATTTTCTATTATAATAGTTATAACCAAATTAAATTAGAATAAAAGTAAACAAACTTGAGAAGCGTAACTAGTGTTGATCGAAATTAAATTTATCATCAGTTCTCTCGTTTCTTTGTTTAAATTTTCGAATTTTGGTGTTTCTTTATAATGCACATCTAATATAGGTTATATGAAGATCTTTGTAAAATTATTTGCTCCACATTATTTAGGGAAATATCCTAATTAAATTTCATAATACTATAAATAAATATACCGTTAATATAGCTCTGAACGACTGTCATGCGATTAGTTGTCAATGTACCAGTCTTATCGGAACAAATACTGGTTGCATTGCCCATCGTTTCACAAGCGTCCAAATGACGAACAAGATTATTGTCGTGCATCATCTAAGATTTAAAGAAAACTAAATTGACATATATAAAGCTGGCATCATCTACATGAACATCTGCTCGTATAGACCAAGACTAAATGGGAAATTCCTCAGAAAATCGTAGAGAATAATAAGGCGAAAATTTATAGGAGTTTCTCATCCATACAGACAAATAAGTACAATCAACCAGATATCGTGATAATAGACAAGAAATCATTGGTGACTGATATAGCAATACGAATCGACGAGAAATCATTGGTGACTGATATAGCAATACGAATCAGAAACAAGAAACAAGAAATACGAGAAAATAGAGAAATATCAATAGCTGAAAGAGAAAAAATGTGGAAAGTAAAGGCCAAAATAATTCCCAGCGATAACTGGAACACTTGAAACTATGACCTCTAAACTAGAAAAGTGGCTTCAGCAGAATGCACGAACAAAATCAGAAAACTCTATCCAGAACTGCTCACTATTAAGAATAATGCGCAGAACCTTCAATCTCCTAGGCCTCTGGTAGAGGACCGAAAGTTGAAGCCACTCATAAGGAGATAAGAGAATTTTTATATATATATATGTATCTTAATACGTTCATATAATAATTAATCTAAGTAATATGTATATAATTCACGTAATACTAAAAAATAACAATACGTGAATGTTTAACAACAAAGATGAACCAGGTGCTTGAGCCAAACGATCTTGACTGGTTAATACAAGAAAGTACAATACTGAACATGAAAGATCCTCGTAAATGAGAGCAACACTAAATGCTCAAAACATCAGTTGCTCATAGATAGAGCAATCAATCAAGATTCAAATATAGATATATTAACTTAAGCATAGCCTAAAATAACTATAGAAAATCCTATGAATCGATGCTCTATACATGGATCTGTGAATGACTGGTGCTAAAATATATATTACATAAAGTCAACAGGATCTTGACGGTCCTTATTAAGAACTCAATGAAAAATGAAACAAATTCAAGAGCGAAACTACCATCAATCATCTACATGAATGCCATAAAATTGTACGCCGAAACGTTATGTACGAGAGACTCCCTCATTAATCTAACAAGAATCTACAGCGAGAATTGGAGAAATGTTGCCGAATGATAGTACAAAGAGGAATAATAGAATAAAAGTAATTAGGACTGATGGAATGGAACTAGCAGTAGAATATATAGTATACCTACAGACCAGCCACAAACACCTTCGCACCCCATATGAATTATATGAGAATTATCAATAATATGGTACTAAAATATGATCTGCTAAGAAAATGCTTCAAGCATCAATAGACACTGGAGAAAGACCAAGAAAAAAAATGTAAAATAAAATCCTCCATGAGATGTACCATTGACAGATACCTGAAATAATAGACTTGAGAAAATCCTACTACTGGTTGCAAAAAATTAGTCTAAAAGGTAGCACGAAACATTAATCATAGGAGCATAAGAATAGATTTTATGCACCAGATCCATAGAATAAGAGGTTTACCACGTCAGAGAGGATTCAAAGTTAAGACATGTAGAAAAACTTCAGAAACTACTCAACACATAGTGGCTATATAATTTAGATGAAACAACATATTTTGAAAGGCATAACCAAGTAGCTGGTACTGTCTACAGGATTACAGGGATATCAGCTAAGAATTCCCTTCCCAAATCCAGAAGGGAGAATCCGCAGAAAATAGTCGAGGACCAGGCAAACAAGCACTCACCAAACAACCAGATAACATGGTCGTAAATAAGAACTAGAAAACAGCGCTGGTAATTTATACTGATATTGCTATAGAAATAGTAATACCAAGTAAGGCAACACTAAAAAGAATAAATATGGAAAAAATATAAATATATTGGAGTACTAGAGAAATATCAAAGACTGAAAAGAACCCAAGAATATGAGAGATCATCCATAACAGAGTCTACTGCCAGGAACAATTAAGATATGGCGCAGAACCCTCAAGCTTTAAGAACAACCAAGATTGCGGATGACCTGGGTGATAAAAAAGTGATTTTTAATACACATAATGCATAAATATTATTTCTATAAAATAAAACCTTCTTGACGGAATATGCTAGTGAAAGAGTAACGGCAAGAGGAAGTCCTTCGGGTACTGCCACAACAAGAACTGTTACACCGATAATCAAGAAATTTATAAAATGTTGAAAATCAGCTAAGCTGAATGCTTTTTCTTCAATCATATAACGACTAATACAAAAACGGGTAACAAGAATTAAAACAGTACATCCAGCCACAAATGATCCTATAATAAACTATTATAGTAATTCATATAAACAAATATATTACATAAAGTCAACAGGATCTTGACGGTCCTTATTAAGAACTCAATGAAAAATGAAACAAATTCAAGAACAAATTTCCAGTATTCTAATTAATAGAAATTTTAAAAAATGTGATAAATCTATCGCTATAAAAAAATATCCAAACCTGCATATCCAATTTGTATAGCCAGCCGAGTAAGTTTCGCTTGTAAAACAGATCGTTCCTTTTTGCCTTCAGATTCTTCTTTTACTTCTTCATTATCACTTAATTTTCCAACACTTTCTTCAGCCAATCCGTCTGCTTTAATATCTGCAATTACTTTTATATATAATAAAATAAATTTTTCATTAACATTAAATTTTCCAACCATTTCAATTCACATATGTTGTGCCCATTTCCTTAGAACTCTTTCTGACCATTCCACAAATTAATTATGCAGTTTAAAAAAGACGATTCTTTTAGCTTAAAACCTATACTTTTTCTTATTCTAATTTGCGGCAAAATTTAATAAAAGCGACAAAGTGATAAATGCAATATACATGTGCTATATATATGAACACGAAAAGCACATTGGACACAACATACGGAAAATAAAGCAATATTTACATTGAAAGTTTTGCTAAAAAAAGTGATATTTTGTTACGATATTTTACTATTTACACTAAATATTTATTTTTTGCCGTGCTGATTTATTTAAAAAAAAAGAAAAACAAAAAATTAACATACTGCTTAGATGGAAGAAATATCTAAATTTCACATAAGTTGAATAGCAAAAAAATAAATGGGCAAAAGCCACAACAATTTTCAATGGAAAACTAGTTTTATAGAAAACCAATGCCAGCCTCATCATTTTTGCCTTGTACCATCTCTCGAAACTTCCTCACAGTAATTAGCAAACAAAATGAAACACTGGCAAAATGAAAAAACTTACGATCTGTGAGCAGTGCTTGAGCTGTTCCATCTTCGATACCGGTTGTGACAACAACGTCACCTGAAACCAACTCCGAATTCTACACAAACAACAATACAATAGAAATACAAAACTAAGGATGAAAAGTGCAAAACAACAGAATTACAAAATCGCTAAATAATAATCTAAATTTAATTAAGCAACAAAAATCTGTAAAACTATTTTCGCAATTTTTGTTATATTTTGTAAAATATAGATCGGATGCACGAATTAAAAAAACGTCTATTAATTGCTAAATAAAAAATTTTTTTGAACTTTTCATGACCAAAAATTGAAAATTTTGGAAATAAATAATCTAATTTCTTAAGAAATCCGTATAATACGCAAAATTCAATTCCAAATTTTCAACTGAAAAGATTTTTAAAAAATTAATGTAAATTGTAGTATAAAATAAAATTTTCTTTCTTTTTTGACAATTCATAATATTTTTGATAATATTTTCTTTTGAAAAATATTTTACAGCCCATTTTCAATGTAGCTGATTATTTTAAATAAAAAGGAATCACTAAATTGGCATTCTTTTGCTATTTGCCAGTAGCATTCTACTCAGTAAAACATACGGCAAAATTCGTTTAATGTATATTCATGAACTGATCATGCAATTCACTGAAACACCGCAATAAGCAAAATTCTAATTTTTATTTTAACTTCTTGTTAAAATATTTAATTAAATTACATTTTTTAAAAGTTTCTATGCAAGTCATGATCAAACATTATTAACAAACAAATGATGTGTGAAAAGTGATATAATTAAATAAATTCATTTTAATTTTAATTTTATTCAATTTCATTTTAATTTTTTAATTTACTATTAATTTCTCATTCCTTTTTACAATTAATCAGTTATCAGTAAAGTGAATCAGTTACTTCAAATTCAGTCCCTTTTTCAGACATCAATACAGGTGATATAATGATAATACGCCAAACAAAAAAAAAAAGGTTAAATGAAAGGTATCGAATTTTCATTTATTTTTTCTTATATTGAAACAATAAAAGAGATCTATCAAAATTTCATCTTTCTGTTAGAAAACCTATTTTATGAAATTTTTCTAGTAAATGCGCAAATGTCCTTGGTCAATGACTTTTTTATTTTAAAAAACTGCTCCTTACGTAACTTTACAAAAAAAGTCTAAATATGTGGTAAGACTTATTAACTTTGAAAAATCTTAACATGCAAGTTAACTTGTTTCATCTTCAAAATCCCGAAAATAAAAAACCATGCAAACGCAAAAAAACGAAAAAAACACGTCACGCTTCTTAGCTTACCAGAGGCTTTGCTTTTTCGACGCGCGCGCCGTTCTGAAATTAAAATTCGCGTGAATGTCAAGTTGAAATATTATTTATGTAAACAATTATAAATAATAAATAACCAATAAATAAAATTTGGACTACATCGTGAAAACAAATATACACATAGGAGCAAAATATCTTTCTAATTAAAATGTATTAAATAAGCTTATTCGCAATTAACTTAAGTTTTTCTACCCAAACTTGTCAGTTCATACCAAATTTACACAATGAAAAATGAAAGAATTTCATTTAGCTCCGATCATAATTAGACTATTTTAAATTTTAAAACCTTGAAGATTTACATTTAATTTAAACGGATTTATTTAAAAAAAATTCTTCCTTTAGCCCAACTTACACAAATTTAAGAATGTTCGATAATTTTTAAGTCAGGAATTCAAAAAATAAAACAAATAAAATTATATAAAGAAAAAATATAAAAAAAATGAAGTATCTGCACTTAACTTCAAGGTATGAAGAATGATAATTTATATAATTATATGATTCAACCAAAAATATATTTTTGCTATGAAAGATAAGAAAAAATGCATTCACCAATAGCAAATTAAGACATAAAGACATAAACTCATAATAGAATTTAAATAAAAAATTTTAAATAACTTCTCAACCGTATTCATAAAAAGATATAAAACTGTTGGAAAGATTTTAATATTTCGAAGCAAACCTTCACGTTTCGCTGCTTTTCGTTCTTCTTCGACAACATTTTTTGCAGCACCAAGTAATGTCATTATAATTCCTGTTTGCGAATTTACGCCAACAGCTGTCACAAGCATTTTACCACTTCCTTCCATTACATGGGTACCTATTATCATTATTATTATTGTAGTGATTAGTGATATCATTTTTTTAAAGAAGTGTTCATAATTTCTGGCTAGATAGCAAAAAAAATATCTTGTTATGAAGATAAAAATTTGTCGGATCAGACAAATTTAGTCACAGTCATTTGGCAAGAGAAGATATGGGTCAACAGCACTACTCGGAGTGGCACTTCAATAATGCTAGAGTAAATTGTAAGTAAATATTTCATTTCACCAAATAATGGAGAAATTATCATGGTTAAAATAACATATACTTTACAAAGTCAAATTGCGACGAAAGTATTTTAATAAGTACTAAAATACTTTAAAGCCCTACTTTTATCGCATATTTTGTAGGAAAAGATGGAAAAATATCAAAAAAGCCCCAAATTCCAGAAATTTACCGGAAAGCAATACTGGATCGTGGTCTGGATTTTTTCGGATTTGATCCGATTCACCCGTTAGCGAAGATTCATCAATTTTCAAATCATTGCTCTGAACAATAATTCCATCCGCTGGCAACAAATCACCTTAATTAAAAGTATATCATTTTTCCTCGTTTTAAATTCCGCAAAAGAATTTATGCATCTGCAAGTGATGGCAATTTACAAATCTAATTAGGGTGAATGTCTAAAAGAAACCAATAAATTTTATTAAAACTCTTCAAATTCATTCAGGAAAAGTTCACCATATTTAACTTGAGCTATATCACCAACGACTATTTCATTGACAACAATTTGAATTTGTTTTCCACCTCGGATCACGGCAAATTTATGTTCTGTTTCAATTTTTGCTTGTAGACCTGAATATAAAAAAAAAAATTGGATATATTCTAAAACCTTCCTTTCTTTCCTAAATAAAATATCACAACTTTTAAAGTAATTTGCATTTTAAAATCATATATTTTATGGAATAATTTATATGAAAAATTGAACCTCTAAATTGGCGTTCTTTGGTATAATCATTAAGGGCAGTAACAAGGACGACAACGACAACAGATATGAGAATGGCGACACCTTCAATCCATCCTGCTTCATGCTCTGAATCATCTGATATGGCTGAAATATGGAAAAATTAATACATTTTTCTCATTCCTAATGTTAATATTAAGAACTGCAAATAATGTTAAGAAATTAAAACAAAACGGGATATAAACAAGCTAATAATGATTGATAATGGAGAAAATATATTCGCTTCTAACGGATAATTTTCTCTGGATAAAAGCAAGTAAATGAAATAAATTTGAAATTTACTCCCATCATCCGGTGGCCTATAAAATGATAAAGCGAGCGATACTATTGCGCTTACTAAGAGTATGATTAACGTGACATCCTGAAAAAAATTCCTTATAAGTATTATCGAAAACAGCCGAAAAAAATTTAGGGTTAAATTCTGTCTGATAGTAAATCGAAAAAAAAGTTTTGGAAATTCTTTTCAAAGCAACTAAGTAAAAAATACCTGAAGGGCTTCCCATACTAACTGTAAGAAAGACTTTGGAGGATGAGGTGGAATTTCATTTGCACCAAAAACAGCCCTCCTCCTATCTAATTCGTCTTTATCTTGTGGTAGACCATTCGCTGGATCCGTTTTTAATCGCCTACATAAGCCATCGATTCCACCATAATCTGCTTCAATTTTTTCACATGCTTCAATTCCGCGAAATTCCATAAGAGTACGTAATTCCTCCACGGAGCAGCCATAATCTCCACGGCCACCCATGGTTAACCAACCTTGAATTCCTTATTTAAAGAAACAAAGTAAAATCGAGCACTTCCCTTCCTCCAATTATTTTCAACAGATACTAAAAAGTAAATGATATGATTTCGATATTTTGTTAATATCATACAAAATTTTTGTTTTATATTTGATGAAAATAAATGCAATGAAAATAATGTTTTTTAAAATATCGTATCGCTGAAAATTAATTTAACGCGAATAAAAATTTCCCATGTGTTAATTTTTATCTAACCATTTTAATTCACATCAGTTAGTCTTCAACGTTAGGCTAGACAGTTTCAACAGTTTGTCGAATGCAAATAAATTACGATTTGTCAAATATTTCTAAATATTCCGAATATTCTGCCACATTTAGTAAATTACACACCTTAATTAATCACCTAATTTAACACGAAATTAAATTCAGGAAGTTACAACACTTAAGCAAAAAAATTACTATATTTTTCCTGTATTAACCATCCTTTAATTGAAAAAACAGTTGAGAGCAATTCCATTCACGTTTAAAATATATTTGAAGATATATTTTATAAGATATAGAATATTTCAAAACGAAATAAAAGAAAAATAACCTCGTAAAAGATGGAAACCTCCTCAGTTTTTTATATATCAACAAAGCCGATTCTTTCCTCTCAAATATCCTTCGTCCAGCCTTGCTATAAATGAAATTTTTATAAAAATTAAGCAAATATTTATATTTAAAAACGATATAAATCACGCACATAACGAAACATCCTCGATAAGCAAATCATTAAACTAATAAAAATTTTTTTCCCTCTTAATTTATCAAAAATATGAATAAATAAAATATGCATAAATTTCTCATTTTTCATTAAAAGAATAACAAAAAAATAACATCCAAATCAGAAAATAAATAAAAATTATCAAACAAGAACTGCGGTTACTATAAGAAATGCATAGAAAATTCTCAACATTTTTCTTAAAATTAATTTACATTTGAATTCAATCTGACATTTTAGAAAAATCATTCTTTTCTAATAAATACAAATAAATTTTTCTTATGAACTCTTTGGAATAGTTATGTTTAAATATGCTTCAAGTATGCTTAAATTTTCTTTCATGAAAATAAAATAGGAAAATTTTAAATAGAAAAATTTCTAATGGTTACAAAATCTCGAATATATCCCTTGAGATCCTTTAAATTATTCCCTCGTTATATTCCCCTGACAATCACTGCTGCATTCACAAAGTATGGTTCGAGTTTTTTTTTTAAATTGCCAAACCCTTCATATTCTCACTTTATATTTCCTTCTCTGTATTAACATTCACTTAAATACTTCTATTCAGCCAAATTATAAATGGAATTTTAAGGAAACATAGAAGTGCTGACATAAAGCAATAACTGGGAGTAAGACAATTCAAACAGCAGGAAAGGCAGAAATAACATCCTTCATGATTATGCCAAAAAATCAGAAAGCTTTTGGAGGATATTAAAATGTATTTAATGGGAATTAGAGAGATTTTTACAAAATTTGACTATTTTTCGAAAGGAGTTTCTACCAGTTAAGATTTCGCACTTAAGGCCGCAACCTCGCTTCTTTAAATCCAAAAAATTATATACTGTATCCATTTTATTCAAAGATTTCTATAAGATTTATATAAATATTTTTTTGTGACAATTTAAAAACGTTTAAAAAAAAGGAAAAAACAAGAAAAATGCAGAAAAGCATTTTGGTTGCCATGGGAAAAGTTTAAAGCAAGTAAGAATGAAAATAAGGAATACTTAAATTCTGAAAAAAAAAAACTCGAACCAAACTTTACAAATTTTTTTCTTTTCATTTCCTTTCATTTTATAATGTTCACAAAATCGTTCGTGAAATTTTCTTTTTTTTTTCTTTCAAAGCTATAATCAATATTTTAAAAATAAAATTAAAAATCAAAATATTCTTGAAATATAATTTAACGATTTAGAAAAAATTTGAATAAAATTAAGGAAAGAAGATTAAATAAATTAAATAAATAAAAGGACAAAAGATTTGAAGTTTCGTAGGAAAAAAAAACAGATTTATACGGGAAAAAAAGAAAAATTGACAAACGAAATTTTCTTTCTCATTTCTTCCAAAAACTGCATTTATTCTGAAGTATTCCCAAAGGCAAATTTATCCTTTCCTCCATTAATATTGCATTCTGTATTCTGAAAATAAATAATAATCTATAAAAAATTTCTTATTTTTCCCTATTTCGTTGCAATTTCAGCTAGTAAAAATGATAATCTATTCATTAAAATTAATACAAACCCATATATAATAATTAATATTTCCATATACAATTAATCTTCTTCTTCTAACAGAACAGCTCTCACCCTTACTGGTTAGGCTGGTTCCAACGGCTACAACGGTCTGATACTATCGTCGACAGTAATAGAAGCCATTCCTTTTTCCATCGTCTAAGTCCATATATTGCTGGTCCATCTATATGTTCTTTTCTGACCGTATCAGTCCAAGTCTAAATTGGACTACCTCGCCTTTGACGCCAACCATTACACGGTTTAGCAAGTATTGAAATATGGGTAAATTCCTGTGATGGACGACGAAGAACGTGCTCTAACCAGCGAAGGCGACGCTCTATGATAATATTATCAATGTAAGTGGTATTTGAACGAAGGGAGTTGCGATCACGTGATATCTTATCCGCTCGATGGATAATGTACCTTAGACAAAGGCAGATAACTTCTTAGTATTCTCCACTCTCACTGGCCATGTCTCAGAACCATATAGCAAGATCTCGACTACTCCGACGGCTCCGTAAAGGTTTCGTCAGCCGGAAGAAGACATTTCTATCTGCCGTGATCCGAGTTGTAATATCATCTTTTACCCGTTCATCTGGTATTAGAGTGGTATCGTAACAGTTTCTAGAATTGAAGTCATTTTTCTTATTCATTTCCAATGTACTCAAAATGGTACTCATATCCAACAATACTCAAATTTGAATATTAAATGTAATGACCGCTACTGATGAATTTTGAATAATAATTAAACAAGCATTTTCATAGAATTATTTACTCCTTTTAAACAAATTAGTTTAATAAATAGAAAATATTTATAAAAAAATAAAACTCAAGGGAGAAAACTCAAATTTGTAAAAAAATAAATAAATAAATGAAAACAAATGTAAAATAAAATTTAAAAAACCAAAAAAGATGAAAAAAATCAATAACAACAGTGATAATAATGGTAATATTAATATAATATTATAATTTATTAATATTAATTAATTATATTAATTAATTTTTTTTTAAAGAGTCATTACCATTACTGGTTAGGCTCACTCCACTGGCTTGTCGCACTGGACAATAAGCCAGGGAGTCCCTTGGCGACAGAAATACAGGTGAGTCGCCAGCATCACCCGGACTTTTGTACAGGTTTACTCCTGCGGGGAATCGGACCTCAGCATCGGCGCTCCCAATTGAGCAACAACCCACTGAGCCATTCTATCCCCGATTATATAATATTAATTATATAATTATGGTATTAATATAGTGGTATCACTGTATTTGCTCAAGGAAAACTCACTGAGCGGAATATTAAGAAATCGAGTTTTTCAACGTAAAACAGAAAATCACAGTGAAATGCTTATAATAATAATAATAATAATTAGCATTAGACTTGCGCAAACATTCCATTAAAATTATTATCGTTTTTTTGAAACATTTCAAAGGGCACTGTGTCACTATTTACAGCTATGAGAAATCCATGAAAAAAACAATTCAAGGAATAATTTAATTTAAAAAACTGAATGTTATGAATGTTTGTATCGTTGTTCCTTCTTCAGGCGATTTGTTGAATTTTTAGGCAAAAAATCCTTTTCAAAGTCCTCTAAATTAAATGCGCTAATATTTGTTCAGACCATAATCGCTAAACAACCAAAATTTTTCAATTTCCGAAATTTAAAAAAATCGATTGACGTAAGAAAAATATATACATACATGAAAATAAACTCGAAATTCCATTCACCGCAAGAAAATTACGGAGGCACTATTCCGCGGCTCGGATATGTTAAATAATGCGGCTTCTCAGACAAAGTTACAGCATGAGATCGTGTCGAAATTATTGATCTAAGACTTAGTGCAGTGGAATATTTATTTGATTAATCAATATTGTTAGAAGCATAGTTTGATATAATTGAAGTTCAATAATAGAATATAGATTAGAAAATATAGCTTAAGGCAGTGACTTTGGCGCGGACCTCAGGCTCAGACTCATCCTCCGATCCCAGATTTAAGCCCAGTGCATTGATGTTGCACGTAGATCTGCAACGCTTAATTAGAACTATTGAAGAGATCAAAAGTTGTGAGAAATTACTCATATTTTACCGGTATTTCAATCACATAAAAAGTTCAGTAGAGGTCGTATTTAAATTTAAATATCAATAAGCCGAGTGCTGCTGGCGAGCTACCCGAAGCGTCTCCATCACCTCTCAAGTGACAAAAATTTCTAACCGTATTAGTAGATAGGGGCAGCCTAACTTGAACTCAACCGCTTACTGACATAATTGGAGAGGAGATTTTTATGAAAATCAGTTAGAATTCTGCTCGGTGAAATACCAATAAAATTCTGGAATAAATTAACGGTTTTTATGAACGCGTCATGAATTTCGATTTCATGAGGTTCTGAAAAATATTTGCTTTTAATTTTCTAACTCTTAATTATTTTTTATATTTTTATTTGCGTATTTGTGTGATTTATCTTCGCCAAACTTTCAAAACAATCCTCTGCTTTTAGCGGACTCTTAGAAAACTATGGTTTTTGCAAAACTTCCAAACAAATCTGTAATAAGACTCTCATAAGATTCTCATAGATCCGTAACTTTTGCCAGACTCTCAAAGGAATCCAAAGGGATGGTGCAGAGAGATTAAGAATCGTCGTTTTAAATCGAAAAATTTGACTTATTGCTGCTGCTCTGTTGTCTGAATATAGGAAAAAACGATGATAGTCAAATAAAATCTTAGATTTAAAAAATACCTA